CCAAGCCGAAGCTGCAGGCTGGAGACAGACATGCAGGTGTGATACTGATGTGCTCCTGCTCTTGCCCAAGCCATAACCGTGCACTGAACCCTAACCCACAACAGGACAGTGACAAGGTCTCTGGCTGCACCTTGGGGTGCAGGAGAATGAGTGGCCATGCTCCCTTCAGCCACAACAGCACTACTGTCATTTAACTCCTGCCTCCCCACTTGCAGCATAGCTGCTATTCCCACCTCTCCCCCATCCATGCACTGAACTTGGGGTGCAGGCATCAGCCTGGTATTTTGGGGAAGGAGGTTTCAGTTACAACTGGGACATAGATGAGGCCTCCAGTTGTGCACTGGGGCTGCTGTGGGTACTGGCCGCTGAGCACCTCCCCCTGCCTCTTGATCTGCCCTGGTTTTGGCTGGGATAGAGTTATTTTTCTTCCCAGTCGCTGGTACAGTGCTGTGATTTGGCTTTGGTCTGACAACAGTGCTGATAACACATTGATGTTTTAGTTCTTGTGCAGTAGTACTCCAAGTCAAGGACTTTTCAGTTATTGCTCAGTGATTATTCTAAGTCAAGGATTTTTCAGTTTTTTAGTTATTGCTCAGCAGTGATTACTCTCAGTCAGGGACTTTTTGTAAGTCTCTCATATGTTGCCAGTGAGGAAGAGCACAAAAAGCCAAGAGGGAGCACAGCCACAACAAGCTGACCCAAACCAGCCAAAGGTGCATTCCGTACCACAGCATGGCATGCTCAGGATATAAACTGGGGGGAGTTAGCTGGAAGGGATTGACCACTGCTGGCAGACCAGGCTGGACAGCAATTGTATTGTGCGTGCCTGCAGTTGGCTGGTTGGTTGTATTCCTCTCTATTTCCTTTTATTTATTTATTTTTTTGTTATTGGTATTTCAATTATTAAACTGTTCTTACGTCAACTCAAGTGTTTTACCTCCTTTTTTCCCCCCTGATTCTCCTCCCCATCCCTCAGGGATAGTACTTCGGTGGTGGCTGGGCTTAAACCATGTCAAGGTCCTAGAGAGATGCCTCCGCACCCCTACACCTTGGGCCTCACCAAAAGGGTCATGACTGCAAAGCAAGCCAAGCATTCCCTGGAGAGCTGCCTATGCAGGGGCTGCTGCTTGGCTCCTCGGAACCAGCCTTTGGGGAGAGGCAGGCCACTGCAAGTCCCAGCATGGAATTAGATTTAGACTTAGTGAGAAAGTACTGGGGGAAAGATAAAGCTAGTTCCTGTATCCCCAGTGAGCTCCAGCTGGGCTTTCTCATTGGAACAAGGACTGTTCCTGAAGCTGCTGAGAAACTGCAGCCCGGAGGCCCGAGGGGCGCCTGGGGCAGCGCCAGGGCAAAGCTGGAGGTCAGAGAACAAGAATGCTGTGCAGGAACAGTGCCAAAACCCAGGCTCCAGCTCAGCCTCAGGAGATTTGTGGGACTAAGGTGAAAGGAAGAGAGGGAAAAGACCTCCACCTCCTGCTAGCATTTTGGTTTAATACATACCTGTTATGATAGCTTGGGAAAGGAGAGCCTGTGGCTCAGCTTCAGTCGCTCAAGGCACTGTAGGCATTTAACGGATTTAAATTACTTCTTACTGATGCTGTTTTGTTATTTTTTCCAAAAAATAGTACCTAGACAGTAAGAAGATATTTTATTTTTAAATTTTTTTTTTTTTAAAAAGCCCACATTTTATTGTCCACTATATGTAATATGCCAGTAACCATTGCATATAAATGAAGCATTCAGAACATCATAACATATATACATGCATAAATACTTTAGTTGTGACATTTTAAGATTGATAGTCCTTTCTGTTATGTTACTGGTAAATAGACCTGATTTCTGAAAATTAAAATACTATTATGAGGGATTACTATACTACTACTGTTTTAAGAAGCAAAAAGATAAAATATTTTATGGTATTCAGAATCTAAATAATTACATAAAGTGCACATCTCTGTATGTATTATATTCTAGTAAGTGAAGGGGATTGGGTTAATACTGAATATGCAAGTATCAGTCAATATTAATGTTCCCATGAAAACAGATCTCTCTATAAAGCAAACACTAAACAGAATAAACCTATAGTTAGGGTATTTTAATTTCAAGGTTCTACAAACTGTAAAGTTCAAGATAAATTTATTGAGTTGAATATCTTGGCTAAACATCTTAGCTAAACTCAAACATTTTGAATGCCTTTTCACAACTACAGAGCAAAGGCATTTGAATAAACTGTGTTGTCCGTAGCTACAACAATTCCAATTTGCATGATATAATCTCATTCTGAGGTTTTTCCCAGGTCAAAGCTCTTCCTACTTCTCCACCTGAGCAATTTGATAAAGTTAAGACTTGCATTGAAGATTTTGTCATGATGAAAAACCATTTTGTAGAATATATCAATGGGTAGGTCTCCATTTGGATCTGCGTATTTCAGAGTTGTCATTGGAGTGTACAAGGTGTTGGTCTGATGGCGAAAAGGTGGATTTTCTGCAAGAATTACCTTTACTGTATGCTGTCAAGAATGAGAAATAGAGTTGTTAAAGAATCTTTACCAAACAAAATAAAATAAAAGCCTAGCTTTCAGTTAAGCAGAGAAAAAAATGGAAGAATAAAGTGCTAAAATGATGTAAAATCCTGTATGTAGTTTTGTTAGAATGTCACTACAATGCTTTCTTAAAATACTTTATATTAAATATGCCCCATCCCTGGCAGTATTCAAGCCCAGGCTGGACAGGGCCTTGGGCAAAATGGTCGAGTGTGAGGTGTCCCTGACCGTGGCAGAGGATTGGAACTAGATGATCTCAACGTCCTTTCCAACCCTAACTATTCTGTGATTCTATGGTTTTCAAGGCCATGCATACTTCTTACTTATTTTTAGTCCTATTTCTGTTTATGTATACCATGGTGATAACACCTTAGTATCCTGAATAGTCCTCCAAAATTAAGTTTATATGCCCACAATAGGTCGATCCTTTATCTCACAGTTCACTGGGTAAGGATTGGAACCATGCACTTTGCAGCAAGATCTGGGAACATTCAGTTGACACTGGAGTTATTCCTTAGCAGCAAACACCTGAAATCAGTGTCCTTTTCCTCAGCTTTGCCTAAATTTATCTTCCTGCAGAAAGCCTCAAGCACCAGAAACCACATCCATTTATCTTCTGTTGTGTTTTGGTGGTCTGGGGTGGCTGAGTGAATTTCACGTTAGGGATTATGACTGAGATAGAGAGAACAGCAGCTTTTGCTACTGGTTGGAACCCTGTGTAGGAGTATGGTAACACTGCAGCATGTTAAGATTTCACCAGATGATGTGTAAGTGCATTTGACATCAGTGGGATTTATACTACCATTAATAGTGGTCTTCAATAATTCAAAATGAACATTCTTTTAATATTCTAAAGGGGTTGGTTTAAAACTCTTCAGAATCTCTTACCTTTTTAAAATTCATTTCAAATTGTGTCAATTACATTTAATTAAATCTAATGCTTCTATCAAAAAAAAAAATAAAAAACAACCCACCAGTCAACCAGTGCTTTTGTAAATTACAAAGAAAACAACAGCAACAACAAAAATCAAGAAAAAAGGAAGATGGAAAATTGTTGAAGAGCTACCTCTGCGACCTCTTCAGCACTTTGTCCCAGGCTCTGAAATATTTGTTTGTAATTTTTAAGGTAAATATTAGTAAACATATCAGCTGTTTCTTGATCTGCAGCTGAAAGATCCATTTTCATTCCATCTTCAAACACTTTTCTTTCAAACTCTGTAACTACGGGGCCTGGTTCAATCAAACTTAACCTGTTCAAAAAGCAATGATAGAGTGGTTATCAACTATCCTCCATGGGAAATACACCCCTCTATCCTTCTCAAAAAGGAACGTTGAGGAGTTGTACTGTGTGTACATGTTAGCAAGCAATATTAAACAGGACGTTCTGTAAAGGGAAGCCATGCTACGTCATTGCTCTCATGCTCCTACCCATCCACATGTAGTAGTAGAAATCTGGAGAGCTTAAATGTCAGTGCAGTGCTGTAACTTAATTTGTGGCAGAAGCGAGTGCAGTTGTTACTTGCTGTCTCACAGATGTGGAATCTAAGGGTGATTTATCCACAAGAACACATCAAATATTAAGAAAAAAAATATTAAAGGATGATAACAAAATTCCTTACTTTCTGACCAAAATCCTACCTTTCTTTGTTACAGCTTTCCCATAATAATACTACAAGTAGTTCAAAGACGTGGGGGATTTGTCAAGCTATCAGTGTTACATCATGCAATGTCCCTCCACTTTATTGTAATGAAATACAATATAGAGAATTTTGCTGCTGCCAAATCTGGAAAATCTTTTTTGGGTTGGTAGTGTATTACAGCAAATCACTGAAATACAGTTACTAGTCAGTTCTTTCCTGGTTCTTCTCTCAGGCAGCAATTACTTCCAGCCACTCTTTATCAAAGTCTTTGGGATAGGACCTCTTCCTAGACTTGAGCTCTGATCAGGCTGTTCTTCAGGACTAAATGAAGGTATTGACCTTGACAAGAGAATTCCAGCTGCAGCTGGAATTAAAGCCTTTCCTCTTGCGTCATTCTTCACACCAGACCTTAAACTTTTTCCATTCTACTTTCATTTTTTTTAACCTCCTTTTTGCTGTTACCTTATACTATTGAAATCTTACTATGAATTCTGGTATACCCTGTTTATCATTACAATATATTTGTTTTAAATCCCTCCAGACTTCTCAGAGCAGTATGCTGCTCAGTTTGGATGGCGTTTTGTCTCAGAAATCATGGGATTTCCAAGAAGCAGCTGTCTCTTCTCCCAGAGCACAAGGGCTAAATGCTTGGATGTGACATATTTAACAATTGTGGGACATCTCACAAAGAATAGCAGCAGAATTACATGAATGTGAATATACATGTGACAAATCAAACCCCAGAGTCCCGTAGATGATGAACAGGAGGACCAGTCTCTTAAATACTGTCTTAAACATTAAGTAGTACACCACATTCTTCTCACTTTCCTTCCATCTCCTGTCATTATAGGTATCTTGCCCTGTGTTTCCTTCTGATTGATTTCTGCTTGCCCACTCTCTATGATGAGTTCCTGACCTTTTCTGTGAATTGCTTAAGAAGTCTATTATCCTTTCTAAAGGAGAATATTACAGGTTGGTATTATCGTTTTATTCCTATGATACTGTACACAAGAATCTTTTCAGAAGTGTTACATAAACTATGTCTTACCCAAACCTAAACAGCTTTTAACGGTCCAAGAGAACGTTTATTTTATCATGTAGACATTTTTATTTGCATACATAGTGTGAAGAACATGGACATTTCTATGCCTTTTGTGATATACTATTTCCAAGGGTTCCTCAATCTGTTTCTCCTGGATAGCAGCAAGCTTTAAAAATTTGTTTGCTAGCTCTGAATTTATTTACAACTATATAAAATACAAATACACCCCAGTGGATCAATACTTACTGCAGTTTGAACTTGAGCGCTTGTATAGCTAAACTTTCGCAGAATCCTTCCACAGCAAACTTAGATGCAGCATAAACGTCATTAAATAAGATACCTGATGGTGCAAACAAAACACCTTGAGAACATGACTGCATTCAACACACTAACAATTTAAAAAACTCTTCTATTTTCAAAAAATGTCTAGTCTTGCAGGGCAAACATTAGAAAAATCCTTGTTTATACTGAATCTAAATACTGATTTTTTTGCCTATATTCTCAAAATTGTTTATTCTAAGAAAGAATGCTTGAACAATGCTTTTCCTCCTCCTAGCTGATGATCGCCTGGGGATGGTATTAAATATTTTGTAGTCTAAGACATGAAAGTGTCTGAACATACAACACCATCTGCATTATTCATTAGCAAAACTTTAATAGGCTATAGATAAACACATAACCTGAGAGCAACGCAAGAGATGAGATTATGCAAGAGATCCAGCTTGCATGTGAGTGATTTAGCAAAACTACTACATCAATCCATCTAATGGATGGTAAGTGTTATATTAAACAATAACAGCTCTTGAAGTTTGACTTCGGACCTTTGCTCACCAGAATAATCCAGGTAAAATCAATGCCACTGTTATAATAATTGAAACAAATACAGCTAGACTGAATGGACTGCAAGAGTGAGAACATCCTCATCTGTCACTAAAATTAGACTCTGTAGTTTTACGACAGGAGAGACTTTACAAAAAGGTAAAGTTGTCCACAATATGATTGGATTCTATTCCATTATTATTGTTCGGAGTGTAGTAAGCATGTTTGCTTGTCCTCAAAATCTTTTCCACTAATTCTTTCCAATAGGAAAAGAAAAGTAATGCTAAGCCCTGTTTTCCTGATAATAAAAATAAATTAAAGGAGTTATAGCAAAAAACCAAAAACCCGTATCAATTGACTCTAAGGGCTTTGTTGTTAAAATGTCTTGGGAGTAGTTGTGTAGCAACATACAACCTTGATGCATAAAAACTATCAGGTTTACCTAAGTGCTGTGCTTTTTATATCAGAACTTCAGCATTACAAAGCACAATACTTAGATATGCTTTTTTTTAAAATAAAGAGGTAAGCTTAGATTTTGAACAGTAAATTCTTAGTTCAAATAGAAAACAAGAACAAAAAAAGCAACTTTGCCTTGTATTCCCATAACACTGCTTATTATGACTATATGTCCACTCTTTCTCCTCTTCATATCAGGCAAAATCTCCTTCAGGAGTCGAACCAGTCCAAAGAAGTTGGTATCCATCACAGTTTTCATCTCATCTATGGTCTGACATTCAATAGGTCCAATGAGCCCCATTCCAGCATTGCTAACTGCACAAAATGGTAGACAACAGTGAGCAACAACCTCAGTAAACATTAATTCAGTCTTTACTGGAAAGTACTTGAAAGTAAAATGAGGATTAAGGATTAAATAATCCTTAAATAATCCATACAGACAGGATTAAAATATGTTATTCTGTCACTAAAATTTTGCAAATACACTCGACTTCCATATTTTTTATTTTTAGTTATGCCTTTAATACAATTTAAATTATCTGATATCTTGCATTTTAACAAATTTATTTCTGATTAGTCCTGTTTCTTAAAATCATGAAAATGCTACAGGAAAATGAGCCAAAAAATTATCTGTTTTGTTTATGATTCAACATTAAGAATTTAAAAGCTACGGTCTGCTTTTTGTTTTGTTAACATTCACATCTTAGAGGGGAAAAAAGAAAAGAAAAAAAGAAACAAAAATCCCCAAACCACCACACTTCCATTCATTTTTATTCCTGGATATTTTTAAGTGGGGAATGATTGCTAGAATTGGCATTCTGCACTACAACTAGTATGCCAAGTCAGAGTACGATACAGTTTGCAGAAGCAGCTTGTTAAACAGTGCTTTAATAATTAATCAAAATAAAGGCAGGCCCATAATTTTCTATTAGAGAAGATTTAATAGTTGATGGTGTAAGCAATTCCCATCTAAGATACATTAATTTTTAGCACACCATTATGGAAATACCTCTTGTTGAATGATTTGCACAGTGCAGTTACAAATTTCAATACAAAATGAAAGTACCCTTACTTTCTTTGCAGTTCTTCTTTTACTTGCCAATTACCAGATGCTGCTGCTTTCTTAGTACAGAGAGCTGTTGCCTTCATTGTAAATAGGGCTATGCTTCATTGATAGGGCAGAAAACTTGTACATGAAGACGCCAATTTAGGCAAAAGTTCTCACATTTACTGAAAACTGTAATTCTATCCAAAATACTTCCCTGTGTGCAAGTTTCTCCTTTGTAAACAGGGAAAACAAGCTTCCCTACTTCACAGAAGCACAGTGAGATTTAATCCACTCATGTCTTCATGAAGTCTTAGGAATCTCGAACAAAATACACTATGTAATTATAAGTATTTCAGTATTAAAAAACCCCACATTAATGGAAATTCTCTAGGGTATTTAAGATCATGCAAAATAGAAAACTGATATCTGTTTATAGCCCAGACACCAAGTACTTGCCGAGGACATCAATCCTTCTGTCAGGGATACTATTCACACAAGCTTTAATAGACTGCTCATCACAGACATCCAGTTGTTTAATTTCCAGGGTTTTACCCAGCCTTCGACCTGCAGCTTCCTCTAGTGGCTCTTTCTTGGCCAGATTCCGCATTGTGGCATACACTGCAACACACAGAAGTAACAGTTACCAGAAATAAAACCTCTTCTGTTCAGTCTTACTGAGAAATATTAAAGAATATTGATTTTACATCCATATGTTAAATACAAGTGCTGATTAAAACTTAAAGTAGAAAGAATTTATTTCAACATATGTTGTTACTGATATCCCAGAGTTTGGGAAGTCTCGGAAATTTTTGCTGTGAAGAAATTCAAAAGGATAATTAAACTGCTGTTTAATTCATACATGAAGTGTATGAAGATAATATTACCACCAAAATTTAAATAATGGGTAGCAAGTCACGCTGCTGAATCATTTTTAGGTAGCTAGAACCTAATTTTAGATTTCATATATCTTTTTTTTTTAAATCACTGTCAACATGTTTAGAACAACTTTATGTTTATTAAATAGTGGAAGGCAGATGCTTCCTTAGGTGGCAAAAAACATCTTCTCAAAATAGAAATGAGTTTTATCATTATTGTTACTAATTACACAGAAAACTATGAATCTGCGTTCAGTCAGTTAGCAGTAAAATACTGTGAGAATAAGTGTGAAAAACTAAATTACCACACATTGCTGTATTCGTCTTGCCATCCATTGCCATCCATTTCCTTACAATGTGCTTAAAATTTTCTTAAATGTGCTTTAAGGAAAAAACTGCAAATATAAGAACTCTTTTCCTACATGAATTGCTCTGGTCCTCAAATGGGTATGTACGTTCATTCAACAAAGATTTTAGTACACAGAAGGAAAACTAACTACAGCTTTGAATGTATATCCAAGGTAGCATGGTACAGACATTTACAGCTATTTTTTTTTACACTGTTTTGTGAACCATTCAGTTCAAGTAGCTGTTCAGCTGCAATACATATACAGAAATACCATCTCCTTAGAGAAAGCAGTGTATTTTCACTGTATTGTATTTTCTTGGCAGTAGGAGGGAAAGTAAAAAGAAACAAGTCAGCAAACTGAATACAATCACTTGTTAAATCAAAGAGAAACACATTAGTACTGCCTTGAAGAATATGATTTTATAAAGATAAATAACAGATAGTTACCTTTAAATCTCTTCTGTTCATCTTTTGCCATTTTTACTGCTAACGCCAGTCCAATTCCTGAGGAACAACCTGTAATGAGGACATTTCTTCTTGCCATTCTTTTCACTGGGTGATGCAAACAACAGCTCTTGTTCAGAGGAGCAACAACCTAACTGTAGCTACAGTACAATGCAATTGGCCTTTAATGCTATCTCCAGCTTTCCTGAGTCAACAAATCTGAAAATGCACACCTGGACCCTCCATGATTAAGGGATAATCTCCAACCAGACAAAACTAGAAGCAGATGCTCCTGCATGAGCTGATAATCAGCATTATCATCATGGATTATATTTAATACAAAATTTGATTAATCTTTAAAATGAGACATTTGTTAAGTACATGGATTTTTTTTTCAGTTGTGGAATAACCAGTTTGCATACTACAGTCAGGAAAAGCTTTGCCACAATTCCAACCGGGCTGTAGTGTCAAGTTTTCCACTCCCATCTATTGAAAGTAAACGACACCCAAAATGGGATCCCTCTTCCTAAGGTGTTCAGACTAATACACTTACAGCACCCTCCTCATTCTTCTGCAACAGAATGATAAGTGTATTTCTTCCCTGATGCTTTACTATTATAAGAGTCCTAAGAGGATTTACAGAAAAAGTAAACTGAAAAACCATATGTGGATTTTTACAGAAACAAGTTTTTACAGAGATTCCTCACTTTTTTTTTTTTTTTCACTGTTCCCAACCAAGAATAGGAAAAGTTAGCAAGTATGCTGGCAGTGGGGAATAGCCAGGAAGACCAGCTCCACTGTATCCTTGCTACTGGATCTGTAACCTCTTTGAACACTTTCTAGTGTCAGAACTAGCATGATGTCTGATTCAGTTTTAGCTTTGGAGAAAATACTCTACTGATTTGTGTATAAACTCTAAATTAAATGGACATTTGGACTGGCAATTTTGTGCAATTGTCGATTTAACATACAGAAACTGTGGGCATGCTACATTCAGAAAGAAAACCAGTCTCTGGTGAAATTTATAACCCATCCTGAGTGACAGAAAAAGAACCGCTTCAATAAGCAATTAGCCTTCAGAACAGCATTCAGTTAATTGCAATGCCATTATAGCAGATAAATGTTTTCCAGGATTCAGTAACCCCATGTTAATGTAATGCAGTTCAGAAGAATTAACTTAGCATTCCAGTATTCACATTCATGTAAGTTGGTTGGTAACACAAGAAAAGTAAGACTATAGAAAAATTTAAGTGATATTATGATGTTAGAGAAAAAAATATACAAATATCCCTCCTTTCCAAAACAAATTCACTTGACCAGTGTAAGTGGAATAATTAACTTCTGAGGCAAGCAACAAAGCAGCAAGATGGCATTCAAAGTTAAAATGTAATTATTCAAAGAAAAATGTGATTATGGTTCTACTTATTTATCAGTTTGACCCACAGTTTTACCACAGAAGGTGGCATCCAGACACACAATTTCAGTGCAAATGCTGTTTAGCTGATTCAGATATCAAGCAAATTGCTTTTGCTGCTCATGCACATTTATATTTAGTCAACGTAGGTGGAGCAAGCGATGCTTTATGCAACACTCCATTAGTGGAGTGGAATACCAGTAGTGTTGTGATGCAACTGTAATTACAGATGGGTTACATTTTCCACTTGAAATCCTGGTTTGAAGGGCTTACGTGTTCCTGTGTTTAAAAAACTCTCTGAAATTTGATGCATAGATTTCTAGCCTGAAGGAAAATGGATGCGCCTAAAGAAAAGAAAACATTAAAGTAGTTTAATATTTTTCAGTTATTACACTGATCAACCTAATTGTAATGTATTTCATTTACTGTTATGTAGAGAAACAAATAGCTTGATTTAAAACACAGTATTCTTTTGCTACATAGTAATTCTCATAACAGCAAAATAAATAATCTGAAACTGCAGAAATACTTTAGATGAGTGCATCTTGACCTTGTCAGATGTAGCAAAATAGGTGCCTGGTTTTGTATAACCACTTAAAAGTTGTATTTGTGGAACATATTTGCATAACAGGTAGGTAGTGAAACACCTACTTGCTACCCAAGGAGTTTAGCACACTTCCACCTGCAGAGATGCTGAAATGCAACAGATAGATTTGATGCCTGAGATACACTTTTAATATACAAAATACTTAATTTAAGCCTTATCTTTAAATTGCAAAATATTCAATTCTCTTCCTCTGCTTTATGTCAGATAACTTTACTAGCTTGATTTTCTAAAGTACAAATCACATGTCTTAATACACATAAATCATGTTTGCATTTAGCAGACTCAGATTTAGGCCTCATAACCGTATTTGCAGTTTCTGATGCTTATGTGAATATGAAAGTGTTAAAAACTGAGCCCACTAGTCCAGTTTCTACCAGCTAAATTGTGTAGTACTTTTGGAAAACTGTAAATAAATATGCTTTAGAATGCACAGTTATGATGACAATTTAATCAATAGTCATTTTTGGATGGATTTTAGCTTGGGGAAAAAAGAAAAATAGTTCAAACTTTATGGCCCTCTCCCACACACATTTGCATCTTAAAGATAATGGAACATACGGTTTGGAGTAAAGCAAACAGGTTTTGCCAGTGTCTATTATCAAACAGTGTCCCAAAACATCTTACAAATAGGTCAATTTTAATAAGATATTTTGTCTGCAACACTGGGGGAGGGAGGAGAATTCATATTCCCAAACAAAAATTGTTTGTATGGTAATACCATTGTGCTCTTAAGTTGGATGTGAAACACAAGTACACAGTTTAAAGTCTTTGAGAAAAAATAAGAGCCAATATTAATTCCTGCAACTCAAGATACTTAAAAACTAAAATTTATTTCTCAAAAATAAATCAAGATGTTAATAATAATAACATCAAGGCAATAATCTCAGAAACAGTTGAAAGAGTAAAAAAGGTTGCAATTTGTTTCAGTACAAATAACCATATTCATCATTTACAAATACAATATTTCCTTTTTGAATGCTTAATTATGTTGTTGAGTGCACAATTATGTTGCCAGCAACAGCATTCCTGCGTCCAATGAGCAACATTCTTTCCTTCACAAGTCTTGTCCCTGAAAAAAAATACCTGTAATCAGAAGCTGCCTTTAAACTCCTGCATTCAATTCACCATATCTAAATCCATTTGTACCAAGATCTTACTTTTCAATATTAAGATTCATCTTACAAATTCAAGAAAACTAGCTGCAGGTCTCAAATTCGTGGTTTCTTCCTCAATTTCTGCCCCCCAGACTGAAGTAACTAATGCATTCTTTTCCTGTAATTGAAGTGCATTTCCTTACAAAATCAGTAAAATGTACACATTTTTCAACATATATTAAGTTCTAGTAGGTAAGTAGGAAAATAAGATCCAGAACGTTTTGAAGGGAAAAAATATCTTAATATACAAAACGCTGTGAAAATGTACCATTTGAAGGAGCAATGTCTTTTGAGATAACTCCTCTGTGGAAGGCTTAAGGCATGAACTGTATTCTCATACTTAAGTTCCTAACAATTTTGGTTTCTGAGCATTCAGGAAGTGTTTGTGAAACCCCTATCAACTGTACCAAGCATCAAGAGGAAAATAGCCTATGATTTCTACCAATACAAATGGAGAAAATCTTATCAACATTAATGTTGGATTTTCTGAAGGATACAGAAATAAATGTAGGCAAACACAGTATGTTTGTGGTTGGAGGTAGGTGTTTTTTGGTTTATTTCTAGAGGTTCAGCCCTCACTCCCCTCCTTTGAAAAACAGGCTTATATGCTGGACCTAAATATTTGACAGTTCATTTGCAAATAAACACCAAACAGGAGTTTTAGCTGATCAGACAACCAGTCTCTCTAGTATACCATATGCAGCAGCTATGCTTACGTTAGCCAGTACTGTAGCACAACAGAGGCCATACCAGCCACTAATATTGCATAACATCCCATTATAGCATGGCTTCTGTTAATTATAAATATCAAAGTGATTATGTTGTATCTATACTTGTTCAGCTTAATATTATTCTTCATAAGGAATGCTATAAATAGAGCACATAGATATCCATCGGTAGCACATAAGCAGCTTACAGCTAACAAAGGAAAGATTATGACAGTAACTTTTAATTATTTTTATACACGTATATTTTTACAAAAACATGGTAAAAATTACCCTTTTTAAAAACTGGTCTTTGTAAGCACCAATTCTTTTCTAACTTCATTTACCATTTTTAACACAATTTCATTTCTCATTTCAGTAAGAAACTGGGGCCGCATAAGATCAATTTGCTTAAGCCAATCTCTTTCTTAAGAAATTATTTCAATTTCACAGAAAAGTGAAATGGCCACTCTGAATGTTCAGAAAGATTTTTCCTCTTCCTTTATTTGGAATACTTACAACTAAGGGTAGCAGAATGCTGTGTTGTTACAAGATCTTCACTGCAAGTTAAAGCAGAGTGAGAACAAAGAACAATTCAACTACAGTATCCGTGACTTGATCATTTTGTGGATCCCAAAAGGGCAAAATGGACCAGAGGAAAAAGAATGAGACAGACTATACCCCCAGGCAAAGCATACAGACACAGTGCTCTACACACACACCACCCCTTTTCCCCAGATAGATTAGGCAATTGAGTTGTTAGAACTAGGACAAAAGGTTTCTGTGGAAGACTGGTCAGTCAGTATGCAGAGTGTTGCTAACAGAGAAAGTCTTTTCTTACATCATGTTAATATACTCAACTTGCAAACAAAGAAGCAACCATATCATAATCTAAATGGAGCTAGAACCCCTCTGCTATGTACTTCATACTCTATGCAGAATACTTCCAAAATCCAGTGTTTTATCCACTTACTATAATGAAAATAAACCTGAAATCTCATTTACTTCATCCCAAGTCTCTAAAGGAACATGATTGGGGTAGGTCTATTTTCAATGACTTTCTTATATCATTCTTCCATGATGCCCTCTATGTGGCATTCCTTAGCAAATATAGTGACAAGACAACCTGTCTGGAAAGGAAGGGTCTAGTCAGCAGTTGTACAGGGGCCAGCTAGGAAATCCTTCAGAATCCTCCCCAAAGTCCTAGGAAAAGTTGGCAATATGTTAATGATAAGCGTGAAGGGTAGCATAGGCACTGTCCTGTTCTCGACTGTCATAAATAACCTTTAACAGAAATCAAGATAGAAAAACTGACATTGCTTTAATTTGCAGTGAAAGAACCTTCATATTCATTTGTAACACAGCCAAGTCCCCATAGAATACAGACCAAGAACCTTTGGTGTCTACATAAAAAGGAGACTTCTCTGATGTCTTAACCTAGGGAAAGAAACAACACCCAAATGCAGCATAACAAAATGGCAGGAGCCAGTTCAGTTTTGGTGTTTACCTCTAGTTGGCAAGCATCTTTGACTGAACTTACTTTTGCAGAAAGCCTGTTTATCTCAAATTGCATTGTACTTGTAGAGAGTGATTCATGCCCCAAAACCAGATTTGTATCACTTCATAAATTAAAACTTTATTCTATCTGCATGTTCCCGTTCACTAAGCCAGAAAATTTCCTTTTCTCATTCCTATAAGCATGTTAGATCTCTGTGCTCTTTTGTTGCAATTATTTTCACAGGACAGATAACCAAGTCATAAGAAGCTGTCATCATACGGCATATTATTTCATTTCATTTTAGGGAAGACCATGTCCAGAACATGGGGTTAACTAAACATAATCAATATTCAGAGTTCCTCACAAAGCAGGTAATTAAGAGTGTGCCATTAAGTTTGTTATTTTAAATCATTAAACTGGCTTAACTTTAGAGGATTAAGATTCAGGAAACACCAGGATATAAAATGCAATTACTTGGGGAGAAGTAATGACACTTCTAAAGAGACACCATATCACTTCTGCTAGGCAGTTATGGCAATGGCATTAAAAATGTATCATTTGTTGTGTGTCCAGGGAACATTTTACCTTTTCAAGAGGTTCTGGTTGTTTCCTTTCAATTTTTTTCTTCAGCTGATTTATTTCTTGATCTCTCTGGAGCAATTCAAACTCCTTTCCACGAAGCTCATCTTTGCAACGCTGGAGTTTCTTCTCTAAGCTCTCAATCTAACAAGAAATGCAATTAAATCAGAACAGATATTTTACTGAATTCAGAACAATAAAAACCCTCCAAACAAACAAAACTCACCAATACCATGAGTATTACCTCTGACTTTGGAATCCCTTGTCAATTTTTTAGTTTATATTTATTTTGTCAACATTTTCCTTCATTAGAAAAGCAGTTTGGGTGCTATAGCATATCAAGTAAAAGAAATAATTTCATTTCTATACTGGTATGTCCCTGCAAAAGTTTAAATTTTAATTATTTAATTGAAAAACATAATATATTTTTGGTTGTACATTATTTAGGTACACTCTTTCCTGTCCCTACAATAAGGAACCAGTTTTACTCTTCTAGTTTGAACCTGGCGAGCTACTCTGCCCCAGGACCAGACTTTCTCATAGAATTAACTGCTCTTTGTTATAGAAACAGGGTTTTTAATCTAAGCAAAAATTACCTGTTTATTGCATTCCTTAATTTCTAGCTCTGACTTCTCTAAATTGCACTGTAATCGAATTATTTGTTGTTCCATTTCTCCCCTATGTTCACGAACTGTCATATCCAACTGTGTAATCTAGAGGTAAAAAAAAAACAGAAGGAAGTATAATTTGAACTAGTATGCAGATTTTAAGTAGTATTACAAAACACGAAAGCAAAAGGAATGAAACTAATCCTTTGTAGTCTCAAGAACATCTTCTCAAATAGCCAATGTACAAATGCAGCCAAGCTGTCCCATTCGAAAAACAGGAGCCAAACACAAGGGGAGAAGAGGAAAGTTGGGGAAGTCTGTAACCAAGTATGTTTGGTCCTCAGATACAGACAGTACAAACCTAGTTCTCAATGTACTATACTAATCCATCCTGTAAGAAGGTGCCAGATTTTGCCAAAGCAAAAAGCAAAAACCCCTATTGCTTTGATAAATCACTTTTAAATCCCCACCCCTCCTTCTCTCTGATTCCCAAATACTCCTGCATACACAGGCTGGTAGCCTGCAGGAAGCAGCTATTAGAAGGCTAATTATAAGTGACAGAAGAATAGTTTTTCCATTATGGGTGTCAAACCCTGAAGCCAGACCAAAAGACTGATATTATTTCAAGTAAGCTACAGAAACTTCTTCATAATAAAGATACTGTTTTATATTTAGAAGCTGCTTTAGAGCTGATAAAATACGCCACAGAGCAAAAGGAATCTATCATCTCCAAGTACACCTCAGTGCAGATCTTCCCTTCATTTTATCAAACATCAAGATGATAACAGTTGTCCTATGGCTTTATTGCTCAGGATGAATTACAGGACAGGTTTGCACAAGGCTTCTGTTCTATCAAAACAGTAGTCTGTAGTCCCTTAGGGGAGCACAATCTGACGTTCCTGGCTTCAGTAACACACAGCTGGTTTTGAGGTTGACACTGTGGCTATATTAACAGTATAGGTCGGAGTGATACGTGAGGGCGACTAAATCTAGCAGGCTATTTGTAAGTTACCTACTACATAACAGGAATAATTGTCCATAACATACTTAAAATAATCAAACCTGAGCTGCTCTTTGTTTCAGTTCCCAATTCCTTTCTTTCAGTGCTTGGTCCATGTCAAGGAGTTCTTGCCTTCTGTCTTCAATTTCTCCCTTGCAATACCTGAAATTCTCATGTTTAATTCACATTCAGTTGCTTAGCTTCTAGTACCCAGCTTGAAAATGATGAGATCTATTACTTAAAGCTAAATTACTCTAAAAGATGAATTAATGGATGATTGCAAAAAAACAAAACTCAAATGAAATAATTCTGTTAACTATATTCCAGATGGGGATTTCTCAAAAACTACATCATTCAAGTTATTTAATTGGTTATTAGGACAAGATGTTCTTAGAAAAGAATAGTAACATTAATTTATAGCCAGAAAGGAAACTGGACAATTTAATTGTAAAAGAAAGTAGTTCCTCTTATTATTATTTCACAGCTTTGGGATTCAGCAAATAATTTTAGTTGATTTTAAATCAGAATTTAAAAAAAGGAAAAAAGAATTCAGCACCACTTTTGGAAATCGAAAGTGAGCTGATAAGCTATTGCATCAACTTATCTTACATCCACAAACCCCTAAAACTTACAGAGAGCTGCTAAGAATATAAAAAGAGACCATCCAAACTACTTGCTATTCCCAAGGAAAACCTAACACAGCTAAGTTCTCATGATGGAAAAGATACCAGCTTACCTGAGCTCAGTTGTTAGATTCACGATAGCAACTTGTTTCTCCTCCAGAGAGGACTGTGCATTCTGTAATGCATCTTGCAATTCCTGAAGCTGTGTTAAAGTGATTTTTAATTTTCCATGGGCATTCTGCAATGCTGACTCTAGTTCTGCTATTTTCTGTAAGGCTTCTCTGTGGCAAGTCTCACTTTGAAACAGCTTATCTTCTAATTCATTCACTGTTTTACAAACACACACAAAACACAAAATGTTTAATCATCAGTGTGATGATTAGTATGCAACACTGCTGCCTACTAGCACTTGTGGTTATAATCAATGTTCAGTATCACTATTTTGGGGAAAATGTAGAAAAACGGTGACTTGTGAGGTTATACAACAACCTTTTCATGGTACCTAAGTGTCTTCTTATTCATCTCAATATGTAACTAGCTTGAAATATGAGCATGTATCTAAAAACTTTTGTTCAAGGAGAAAATACATAGTAACTGACTATGTGGTGTTATGAAAAATGCAAGGAAAATTGTAGTATGCTTCCTCTTTTAGAAGAATGGTAAAGTTAAATTAAATGGAGGAAGAGAGATTTGAAAGTTTGTTATTTCCACAGTATCACAGGATCACAGACTGGTTTGGGTGGGAAGGGACCTTAAAGCTCATCCAGTTCCAAGCCCCTGCCACAGGCAGGGACACCTTCCATTAGACCAGGTTGCTCCAAGCCCCGTCCAACCTGGCCTTGAACACTGCTAGAGATGGGGCAGCCACAGCTTCTCTGGGCAACCTGTGCCAGGGCCTCACCACCCTCACAGGAAAGAATTTCTTCCTAATGTCTAATCTAAATCTTCCGTCTGTCAGCTTAAAGATATACCCTCTTGTCCTATCACTACATGGCCTTGGGAAAAGTCTATAGACTCTCTTTTGGGGTTTTGTTTGTTTAAAGAGTTGAATTTTTGTGAATAACATGTGCCATTATTAGACCTATGTGTCTTGCTTGACTATCACATTAAGAATCTGCATTCCATTTTACGAGAAAAAACTTCATCTGGGGTAAAGGTGCATCCCACAAAAGTAAGTATTTGTAAAGCTTTGTTAAAAAAGCTTGTGGGTTTTTAGGATTGGGGGGTGGGTGTTGTTTAACTATGGAATTACCCACAGATTAAAAAAAAACCCCAGTTTATCATGTTTTGACTCTGATGTACTTTATTATAAAACAGGGCAAAGGAAAAATGTCTAATCTAGTACATACAGAAGTAATAGCAGGATGAAAGGAAGCCTTAGAAATTACCCTCATTTGCCTTTTCATTGAGTTCTGATCTTGCTTCTTCCAAAGTAATATTCAATTGATTTATCTGCATTGCTTTGTTTTCACCATCTTGTTTTAATTGCACAACTTCTTTTTCCATACCAGTAAGTTCATTCTTGCACTGACCCATCTCCACTTTAATTTGTCTAAGTAAAAGAAGCAACCAGAACAAAATTAACCTTGTAATAGCAAAAGCCTACATACACATGTCCTCACATGGTGTAAGAGTGAGGCATTTGTAAGTAAATTAGAATTTTAAAAGTCATGTTAAGTACACTTTTCTTGCAATGAAAACCATATTCTTTAAGACTAGCAAGCTCTCCTATAGTCTGCTATCTAAAATGACAAGCAACTTGATGTATGTATGATTTGAGCTGCATTATGAAATTCCATCTTAAGGATAAAGAGGTTGCTGGAACCTGCATTAATTCCACTGGAAGACTGTTCCAGAAACTCATGCCTCTGCTAGTTAAAAACATCCTTCTGATTTCGAGTCTATGCTCATACAGAGGCTGAACTACATAGCTCAATTCAACTACATTTAAGTACATTCAACTACATGGCTGAATACCATTTTAGACAGCAGCCTTTCTTATTGACTTATGTACCTGCAGAATAACCTCTCAGTTATTCTAAATGTACCTGATCGTGCGATTAAGTTCATCCACCTTCTTTCTGTTTAAATCTGCTTCCTGAGCAGCTAGGCGATGCTTCTCTTCTACTTTTCTCAACTCATTTTCTGCACAGGCTTTCTGCTTGTGAAGCTCTTGTTCCAAATTGGATATCTATTGAAAATGGTATTTTAAAAGTGTTGGCACTTAAACTTTACATACCAAAGAAATATAGATCCTTGTCTTGCAACTCACATAATGAGAGTTTTAACACAACTGATTTCTTCATAGTCTAAAATTGTTTATAATTTAAGACTAGAACTTTGCAGTCACATTTGAAAGACAAATAGTTTCTGGTAAATACAAGATCCAACTTTACGAACTGCAGTACATCTCTCCTTAATTGCAGTCTAGGGCTTGAGTTTCCAAGTGTTTAGCCATAATAATGCTAGAGTTTCTGATAGCATAGAACCTAGTTTAAGACAAAACAAACCGCTATATTCTTTATTTTAGATATATCTAAAATAATAACTATTAACTCAGTTACCAAAGAAACATTCTGATTTTAAAGGTATTACAAAAGCATATATAAAAGCATTTAATTATCTGTCTTTATAGGTAGACACTTCTCAGCATACTGTACCTGTTTTTCAAGTTTAATTTGATTATCTTCCAGCTCCCCATTTCTAATAGTTTCTTGCTGCAACATTTGCTGCTGATGATGCAAAGTTTGTTGTAGAAGAATATTTTGTTCACTTGTGTCCTGAATATTCTGATCCTTTATTTTTATTTCTTTCTGTAAATAAAGAACCTGAAAACACATTGATTTTCCATTACAGTCACACATTTTTATTTATACTTGCATCAGTTATTCTCTTCATTCTTAATAAGCGCAGAATCACACCTATGATTCAATAAAACTTCTGGCTCTGAATTTTTTGCATTAGTTTCAACAGTAGGTAACACAGTTCTTAATTCATCACTGAGCTGTACTTTACAACATGAGTAAAGAAGTAACACAACAGCCCCAGGTTTTGACTTCTTGCTTTCTAAATTTACCTAAACTGGTCAATATTTTAAAAACATCTATAAGACAGATTTTTCATTTATGAATTACTGAATTGCTTTTCTTTCTGTCACTTTTATTTCTCAGCAAGTGCTTGTTTTCTCCTTGAGATTTTGTTCTCAGTCCTCCCCTTTATTTCTTCCTGCCTCTATGACAACAGTCATTCCAATAAAAAACAGGAATCCTGAGTGCCTATCTTGTCATGCGTTGAGTGGTCTGATTTCTCAGTGATGAATTACAAAGCCTCGCTTGCTACCCTTCAGTTTCACACAGCATCCATCTTATACTGCATTTCACATGCAGTATAAGAACAACAGATTTTAGGGCTTAGAAAGTAGCAGTAAATAACACAGGCTTATGCATAACACAGACCATCGATTTCCATCTAGTTACTCCTGTATAGGGTCTAGCAATCTTCAGGTGACTCTACCTCTCTCTCAGCAAGTAGGGCAGCACTGACATGAACAGCCTGCTATGGTAATTAGCTCATGTGGTCAGGCATCCTCACAAATAAAAATTCATACTAATAATATTGAAACTTAATTCTTTCATGCTTTCATGTAGTACTGGAAAGTATAATAAAATTCAGGGGCTTGCAGTAAAAATTTTCTTATGTCCAGGACCTCTCCCCCATTACAGTACTTGAAACAAATCAATTATGTGCACCTCAGTTTGTATTGCAATGGTGCTCTCTCAATTTTTTCTCCAAGATAATGCTTTCTTTCACTTAATTATAATTTTGTTACTTCTTTCCACAGTTCCATTTACCTTGGTACTTCCTTTCCCTAAGCTTATCCACTGTTTCTTAGTTATGATTTTCCCCTTGCCCCTCAGTCTTTTTTCAGCTTATAGCCTAGTTCCCATTGCAAATGTTTTGTCTATTTCACAGACAAACTTTTAGATTAAACCATTGGTAACAAGTGTTCTCTGCAATACAGGATAGTTGTTCAAACAAGCTGTTACCTCTTGAGACTTCTTCTTGAGCTGATTTTCAAATAATTCCTTATTTTCTTGTGACTGATTCAGATACAGTGCAACTTCTTCCTTACATATGTCTAGTGCTGACTCAAGTTGTCTCACCTAATTGAATGTAACAGATCACTTAAAATTCAATGGCATACTCTTTATTAAGTAATCTAAAAAAAAGTGTTAAAAACCACCTTTGTGCAAAACTGAAAAGCTCATTTTTATCAAAAGAGTATTGAAACACACATAGAAGATTATGATAAACTTAAAAACTGCAAAAGTATTCAGAAATTACTTGTGAAATTAAATTACTATACTTTAGACTGTGTTTAAATCAGATGAAACTATCAGTTGTGAGGAGGTATTCCAGTATTTTTCAGTAGCTAGAATTTAAAAGCAAACATGTACCCAACACCAGATCATTAATCTACCACATTATTACATACAGAATCGTATAAATAAATTCCTAATGATCACCATGTGAGTTGTGGCAAGTCTTTCTCAAAAGTAACAGTTCTTAATACAGTTTCTCTCAGAAATATACTGAGTAGTCTTTTTCTTTTTTTTTCTGCACTGGCAGTGCCCAAGTTCTACTAAAAGCAAAAAGCAACATCAACACTGTTCATCTATTTTACCCTTTTAATATTAATTTGCATTTGAGTACTCTCTAACAAACATTTTATAATCTTGAACAGATAAAAATTACAATGAACAAATTCCAGAGGTCTCAATTCATAGTAACTGAACTTTTAACTGTGCACTTTCAGTGCTAAGAAGACTTTTCTTATAAATGAGAATTGTCCTCAACCTAGCTGCAAATTGGCTAATGCTTATATGCTACCAGTTTTCTAAACCATACTGGAATGTATACCCCTCTCCTCCCCCAAATCAAGAGCTTTCTGAAAAGAAGTTATAATGGGTCTTAATTTTAAATCTCGGGAAAACATCCCAAATACTACAAAGCCCCTTGAATAGAGAACTGATCCAACACAAGTTCAGAAAGAGCATGCTACCAGCTAAATACCCAGTATCTCCTCAGTAATATCCTGAAGACTGAATACTGTTTGAAACCTGACTGTCATAAATCACCACATGGCAATGGTTTATTAAAGTACTGTTGGCAAGTGCTGCATTGAAAATACTAATCAGGCAAACACTAGGAAGAGGCACAGATGGCTAAAACCATGACCAATAATATAATACCACGTATGTCCAGAATGTATGTTGTATCTAGAGCAAAATTCTACATAATATTCTTTGTTAGATGTTCTACTTGGAGTACAACAAGAACAAATCTGACTTATTAGTAACTACAGTAATTTAATAAAGCAATTATGCACTGCATAATCTCTTACTGCAGGTTTCATCATACTACTTTCAATTAAAAATAAAAGGCAAGACTTGAAGTTAGTAACTTCTGAAATATTTACATGAGATAAATTTCTATAAAGCAACCTTATTATAGTTTTTCTATGGAGGATAAAAGGAAATACACCATTACTGCAAACTTTAACACTATTAATTGAAAATTAGAGAGCTTACTAACTCTGACTGTTTCTTCTGTTAACTGACTTTTCAGGACCTTCAATCCTTGATCTTTCTTGACACTCTGATTTTCCATTTCCTGTGTGTACAAATATTTTTATTCAAGAGAACAGCATGTGAAGACAGTAGCAATAATCTAACTAATAAAAACCCATACTAAGAATCAGGAAAAAAAAAAAAATCAGTGTATTTAAAACACAATTGCAGGCATACTGTATTTGTGTACATCATATTCTGAAGTGAATCTGGTTCATGATAGGTGTCCCTTCATATTCTGCAGCAGGAATTATTAAAAGAAATAAAGCATTGCCATAATAGAATATTCTTGGTTTTCCACCTACTGCAGAATAGAGACAAATATTCTTTATCCAGATCTCCTTCCTTGGATTACACTGGGGAGCCCAAGGGGCAAACCAGAGACAAAACCAGAATGCTGAGATGGAAAATAATGAAAGGCCATTAAAGTTTGTACAATATATAGCAGTAACAGTAGGAGATGCAGACTAGATTCAGTCAATTACTCAATCAAAAATTAAGAAGCAAAACCATAAGGATCTCAGATTTTTTTCCAGTTTTTCTATGTGGTTATTGATACGGTTTTCATCACTATTAGTCACTTGTTTGATTTGCATTTAAAGAAAGACTTGTTTGATTTGCATTTAACGAAAGTCAAGGTCCAACCTTACCTCTCTGCTTTCTGTCAGCAGCCCATCCAATGATTCAATGCGATGCTGTTTATGTATAACATCTTGTTGCAACATAGATATTCTTTTCTCTTGTTCAATTAATTGTTGATCTTTCTTCGCCAGCTCTGTCTGAAGCTGTCCATAAGTAATTCATGGCTTATTATTTTAATAATATCACATAATTTGTGCATCTAATATGTCATTTGGTTCTATTCACCCATCACTTTAAGAATGAAAAGTTAAGTACATTCCTGCCATCAGCAGTACTGCACAGTCTTAAAATTATTAAGATATCCTAAAAGCTTAATATTTCAAAGCAATAGGAGTATCAAGAGAATGAAGGCAGGCAGAGTGTAATTGTCTGTCATCAGCCAAGACAGTAAGGCATGCACATACATTCTCTAATAGAAGATGACAAGCTTCCTCAACAGCTAGAAATAGCCACAGTTGTACTCTTAATCACATGGAAGAACAGAATTTTTCTCTAAAGACTGAAAAACCTACCAACCCTTTTCCCTGAACACAGATGCTTGTGAGGCTCAGGCTGGCAGAGGTTCAGCAGACAAGTGAATATTGTTAGAAGCTGTCCTGGTCTAACCCCAGTAGGCAAAAAAGCTATGCTTTACAGTATTCTTCTTAAGTCCCTATTTCTCTTCAGTTGAGCGGAAAAGAGGATATGAAGATCTTGGAGAGAAATCATGCAGTTATGTAGTGTTAGATGGAAAAATGAACTAAAACTCAGGAAATTTAAGGAGAAAATATAACTTTGTAATGTAAATTTTTAATTGGATAGCTGCCTCAGAAAAGACAAAGAAATTAACACAGACAAGAAGTTATCAAGTGTATCATTCATACATGCAAGCACACAGAGAAGCACTTACTAGCTCAACCTGTTTCTCCATCTTTTTGTGCTGCTCAAGGTGAGCCAACTTTGTTTTTTCAAAGGCAGAAGTTATTTTCTCATGTTCTTCACCGAAAGCTGTTTCCAACTCATAAATGCGTCTGTTTTTTTCCTGGGAAACAGCAACAACAGTAATAAAACAACTTAATAAAAATACTTAGCTGTGTTATTAAATAGTGTTTGATGATTGAGTTGCTAGATTTCATAAAAGAGCAAAATGGAAAATAATAAAGTCTCACACAGCATGTTTCATCTCTAAGGATGTCACATCTATAACACAGTTAAAGAAAGCCACTAAATGCAGCTACTACATAGAGACAAAGTATCTACCAAGGTGGACAGCTGGCACAGATTATAACTGGAACTAGGAACTTCTGACAAAGACAAAAAGCAACTCTAGGTTCACATCAATAGATGGAATCTTTAAAATACAGCTTTCCATTTCAAAGGACCACATAAACAGTTTTTATAGCAACCTTAGACCCCTTCTCAAAACTAGAGTTTGCATAACAATACCCAGACAAGAATTACGGTGCTCCAAGATGTCAGATCATCTTCCTCACTTACTACCATTTAGAAGACTTTCATTCACAGGCCTACATATATTTCACTGAAACAAATGGCAATGCTACAATAATAGGACCAGATTTTCATCGCACATATCGTAACACTGAACAAGTAATGTCCATTAACAGCTGTGTTCAAAAGCAGGAAAAAAAGGGATGTTTTATTTGAAGAAAGATTCTGTTTTTAAAGACTGCACTGTAAAAACTGCATAGATTGTTTAGTAGGTCTGAAAGTCTATTCTTTTTGAATATGTGGAATACTGTTTTAACCTGAATTTTAATCTCCATTTGTGTCTTTTTACGTAAATGTAGTTTCCCACTGAGAACATTTTACCATGAGTTCCTGTTCCAACTCAGTATTTCTTGTTGCAACAACAGAGTAAAGAGTAGTCTTTTCTTCCAGCTGTTTCTCAAGTACAGAAAGTTGAGAAGATTTCTTTGTTATCTGAAATTAAATATGGCACAAAACAGCATGAAGACAACTGTTTATTCAAGTATTTGTGTATACTTTCTCACTTGTGTATGCTTTCACCAATTCCATTTTAGCTACTACTATTTCCTAGTGTTATTAATTATTTATTTGGGTTTGGGGGTTTTCTGTATGATCTATTAAGCTTTATTACTTAAGGGAAAAATTCAGGATAATTTACCTCTAATTTATCCAATTAATTATAATTGTTACTGCCATATGAATGAATTAGCTGTTACAGATTTATAACATGTATGGCCATTATTAGGAAATACTATTATAAATGCCATTATGCTGGAATTCTGTAAACACATAGCACCAGAATGTAAACATCAGCATTTTAACTTATTCAAACAGACAAGAGCTAGCTGAAGCTTCATTTCTGTCTTTTGCTACTCTTCGGTAAGAATGTTAATCTCTGGCAACTGTACTAATATTTAAAGAGGAAAAATATAAGTGTTTTTGCATTTTAAGATTGCACATTAATTCAACGATATGGAAGCAAGAAGACTGTGCATATTTTCCACATAATGAATCAAAATAGTAGTAGTAAAGATCACTAACTATGTTAGCTTTAAGTTTTCTGGCAAGTAACAAATTAAGGCTGTTACATAAGTTTTCCTGCTTGTTCAAAAGTTTATTTACAATTTTTCTTAAATAAGCCAGATTTTAAAAATAATATGGCAGTTTTTTCATAACTACTGTCTTAACTATCTTTCAATCAAAAAGTGACGTATTTTTTCAGTGCTGCTAAAAACTTACTTCTTTCTCTAAGCTACTAGCTTTTGAAGCCTTCTCCAATAGGTCTTCCTGCATGACTTGGAAATGACTGGCTCTCTGAGCCATGCTGGTCTTCAAAGAAGAATTCTCTTCGTCTGCTTTTGTCAGTTTAGTGCGTAATTCTTCTGTCTCTTTCTGGAATCTTTGCCTCTCCTTTTCAAATTGTTTGCTGATAAGTTCCAACTGCTGACATTTTCTCCTCTCTCAAAGTAGAAAAAATAAATTTCAGGCTAATTTACAAACCAGCACTCAAACAATAATCATACAAGCCAAAGAGAAACGTAACTTCATGACAGCACATTCAACTAACACATACAGTATCCTGAAAAAAAAACCTGTTTATTTTTCCCCATAATATAATGGAAAGCTGTGACTCATAAAAACAAACAAAAAAACCCAAATAAACAAAAAAATACCGCCAAACACTCCCAAATTACTGAAGACAGTGTGATTACGTAAGTGCCCTGAAGTCATTTCATGGAGCAGTCCTAACAGTAATCGCAGAAACAATAGCAAAAATTCTGCAACAGCAGGATACAGAGAAAAGAATCAAAGAAAATATGGAGACCTCAGCATAGCCTGCATGAAGAAAAAATACATGTGTTTATTTCAACACGATTCATAGCTTGGATATTTATGAACAAGTAACTTGACTAGCAAAAGAAAGAAGAACATTGTGCCTGGAGAACATAACAATTTCCAGAATTCCAAGGTGGCAAAATGCTCCCTGCTCAACCAAACTATATATTGAAAGGTATATTTAAAGAAAAAAACCCAACACTATAAAACCAATGTAAACCCCACCAAAATATTCTGTGGATTAATCAGACACAACTGCACAGCTACTCCTGTAAGCTTACCTCCTTGACTTCTGAGCAATATGACAGGCTCTGTTTCCAGGTCATATGACGTGCTATTTTCTTGTCCTTCATTATCATTAGAAAGATGCTTGGCTCCAGTACAGACAGTAAGATTTGAACAAGGCTTTTGAGCTTCTGCGTCTTTCATTGCCAGTTTAATGCTATTATAAAAAAGAAGAAAACTATTTAACATTCTTCATACGTCCTAGTTCTGATGCCACCTTATTATCTGCCTATTCTTGCCATAATTTTGTAACCAGAAAGTAATACCTTTGGTCTGCAATCAAAGGTTTGTTCAATTCACAAGACTCAGAGAGAGCTTCTTTTGTTGAAGAGCTGGATAGCTGGTGTTTCAAGTGGTGCCATTTAAACTAAAAGTTAAGGGAAAATCAAGTTCAATGCAAAACCAACTTTATTGCTTCACAGTATGATTAATTCATGTGTTATACACATAATTTAGACAAATTTTTTTATACAAAAAATATTTTTATACAAAATTACTATATTCTTTTCAGCAGAGGTCACTTTGGCAATTCCAAACTCATACAGAAAGCATTTTTTGATTTTGGTTTCATTACACGTACTCACATTTATAGTTCAAAAATAAAGACATCTGATGGATTGTGTACTCCTCACCTCATACATCTCTCTAGCCCTTCCTGACTTCCCAAAACCAGTTCCTCCAGTAACCGCAGTCAGTTCACAACTTTGGGATTTTTACGTGACTCTCCCAGTCACTCAGTTTAATGATAAACTTCAGGCTCATGAGCCAGAGTTCATCCTGGTAAAACAAAAGTTCACTTGCAGCCAGGGTTGGTGTGCCTTCTGTTTCCCAGCAAAAAACAAACAAAAAAAAGAAGTTCCTACAAACATCTCTCCTGCTCTGATTTCTCCATTGTGGAGGTTGACAAAACATGTCTGCCTTATGGTAAATGTTCCACTGAGAAGAACCTCACTGGAATATGATAATAAGACATCTTCATGTCTCAGAGATTATACATGCATCTGACAAATCAATACACAGAACACGGAAATAGAAAGTGTAATTTTAAATGCTGGCTGATTAAGCAATCCAAAGCATCTATTCCTTGTTCTTGAATGAGAAGACAAAATTATTTCAATTGAGAAAACACGTCATCCATGCATCCTAAAAAAGCAAAGATATTTTAGGCAAATAATTTCTCAAGAATATCACTGGATTTGCATGCAATGTCAGTTAGAATTGTTTAAGACACATAATACCATTTTTAAGGATGTATCAGTTACTGTACCTCTTCAGCTGTACTTAGGGACAACTGGGAAATAATGGTTTCTAGTATGTGGAGCTCTTCCCTTGAATCTTCAATTTCTTGATGGCATAATTTCAAGCGGTTACGTTGCTGTTCAGTAAGATCTCTTAGCTCTGTGTTTTCACTTATTAGAACATTTTTCTCTTGAAGTACTCTTTCTTTTTCATGAAGTTCACTCTCAAGCTCCCTGACCTTCTGATCAGATCGAGTCAGCATTGACACCATTTCAGTGTTCTTTACCTCAAGAATCTTAATTTCTTCTTTCGTGCTATGATTCTCTTCCTTTAATTGCCTAAAGAAGTATATCCATTTAAAAGGTATAGCTCAGCATAGAGGATATTCATTATTAAAAGTACTAGAAGACAACACCATAACTATACTGTTTTACTGATTTTCTTCCTTTCAAAATCTAGGATTCGCTGTATGCAACAGACCAAAGAGTTTTCATTGCTGTCCTAAGCTTTCACTGTTCCTAAAGACCAGGATGCAAACTGCTATCAGCAAACAAAAGGAGGGAATATATTACTTCTCATTCTTAAGCAGTTTAATAAAGGTTTAAGTACTATCAGAAGAGTCAGTAGTAGGAAATAGATCAAGGTGGCTTTAATTGTGCTGAAGCCAAGGATATTTAAGAACAGGATAACATAACTATGTAATGATAACTAAAATCAGAATGGATGAAGATAATGTATTAAGACTGAGCTAGTCTAGCATTCTGCTACTAACAAGACAGGGAGGGGTCCTATTTTTAATCTCCGCTATCTGACTGTACTGTGAGCCAACTATTTTTAGCTCACCACAAATCATTTAGTTTATTAGGTACCTCCTGATTTAGCAAACTGAATTAGCTCAAAGGTCCTGATGAGTGCCAAACCCAGTGCAAGTTAGCAGAGAATAGACAGCAGTCCAGAGAAAGATCCCTATCAAGATCAGAGATCTATTCAACAGGCTCAAGCTAGCACAGAGGTGCTCCCACACTGCCCACCCTTGCCAAAATGGCCTAAAGAAAAATTGTTAGACAGGAATGTGAGTGTGGGCAGTGCATGTGAATAGGATACCTGAAACTGTCCAAGAAAACACTTGTCCAAACCTAATGACATTAAAGACAACCAGCTGGTGACTTTAAGGATTATTTAGAGAAAATAATTTAGAAATGTTTAAGTGTACGCTAACATTTTTTACCTTTTTAATATTCTTGTTCGACTGTTGTATTGCTGATACTGATACTAAGTGTTCACTGACACTGGTCCTGATTTAATTTGAACTACATGTATCGAGCAGCACATTCATAGTGAGAGTTGTAACGTGCAGTTTCTTCTCAAATCACTATACAGAGATTTTTAAGAGCCTCTGCGTTACCTTAGTTGCTCCTCTAGGATGTCTAGGTCCTTTCTGTAGCTGACACACTTCTCATTCAACTTCTCTCTTTCTTTTTCACAATTAATCAAACGTTTTCCCAAGATTACTTCTTCAGCTTTAACCTTAAAAAGCAATATTTTTTTTGTTACTGTACAACAATAATCTAAGCTTCTGTGGCCAACAGCATTTTCTTAAATGAATACTATAAACATTATGCTGTGGGGTGGTTTGTTTGCTTTGTTTTTTTTCTGGTAAGTCTGTAGATAATTCTGTCGCTTACTGTTGTGAAGGAGAGGAACAAAGAAGTTGTTCTTTTCCTGCCATTTGGGAAAAAAGTAATGTTATTTTGGTTTAATATTTTAGGGCATATTTGTGGTTGGCAAGAACTTTTGCCACATTCCACAGGGAAAGAAGTCTAATCAAATAAAAATGCTCTGTAAAAGCTAACTGTCTCAGGCCTGTTTTTTTTCTCCTCCCACAAGAAGATGTTTCATTGAACAGCTTATACAGATGGAATCAAAAGAATTCTTTCAAAAGGATCATATACTTTTTAAATGTAAATTTCCCAGCAGGCAAGCAGGAGTCAGAAGAAACACAGCATTAGGATACCTCAAAGATGCAGACTGTCCAGACTGTGAGAAGACAGTCTAAAACTGAAAAACTGAAGTTCTAACCACAAACAGTTGCTTACCCTGTCCCACCTTTCTTATGACTTTGCCAACGATAAGCAGAAACAACTGACTCACTGGTGAACCTGTTGCTGTTAGCTTCCTAGCTTACTGGAAGAAGCAAAACCCTAACAGCACGGCAAAAACAAGTGAAGAATAAACTGCCACCTTTTCTAATGCTTCAGTTATTTTCTCTTTATACTTTTTGAAAGCTCTTGTCAGCTCCTCCACGCTCAACAAAGCTTCGTTTCTTTGTTGTTCTGCCCTGCAAAGAAGCATAGCGATTTTAAAATTCACAAAGTTCAGTAATTATGTAACTCTCCTCCAGATACTAAAAACAACTCCTGAAGTAATTGCTCCAGGTAATTTCCTTTCTTCCTCCAACTTTCCAAGCCCTAGATTAAAAAAATTTTCACCAGGCATAAATTAATTTTAAATATAATTTTGGCATATTAACATAAGCAAAATTCCAGTAAGACCAAGAATGCTTAAACTGATTCCTCTTTAAAAAGAGTTTGATTCAAATCATCCACCTGTCCCTAGCAGTAAAAGCCTGTTTTAGGGACTGGATTAGCATGTGCGATAAAGAAGCAGGAGATAGTAGTGCTCACTAAGATTCAAACTGCTTAATGGGAACTGCAAAAGGTTTTGATACTGAAGGGAGCATTCATGATGGAAGTATGGTGAGACTGACAGGAACTGATCAAAGGACAAATTATTTGGAGCATATTGGAAAGATGGCATCAATAATACTAAAGGAAGCTGCAACTGGGATGATACCAGGTGAGCAGCTGTTCAAAGCGGAAACCCAGACTTTATTTTGCTTTATTACTCTGTGCTCCTGCTCCTTTCTTACTTTCTCCTCTTGTTATTCACTAGGGAAGTTGGAACAGAAACCTTGAGACAGGTCAGGTATGCAGCCTGCTCAGGACACCCAACACGAGCACACACGAATTACCACTGCCCAACAGCATCTGTTTTTCTTCCACTATAGACAGTGTGAGGACAGGACAAGTGCCTCATCTAAGTACAGCCTACCTTTGGATCACTGTTTCTCTGTCTGAAGAGTGCTGCCCATTTGGACAGGGCAAAAGCGTTCAGAGTAGGAGAGAAAAGATTTCAGAATAACAAAGAAAATAGTCTAAGTCTAAAGCACTTCAGTTTGCTTGGCCAAAGAACAATAAGTGGTTGTAATTACTGATTAAAAACAACCTGTAATAATTGTTAATACTAACCATAACACTATGTTGCTTTTAATACATAGCAGAAGCTTTGTTTTTCTATTTACATTTGCAACTAGTAACTAAGTACAGCTAGTTTTAACCCACATGCTCTGAATGAACAGTGAATAAATAAAAGCTTTTCTTCACCAGTAGCACAGTATTTCCATTTGTCTAGCTATAGGAATGTTAGAGGCAATTTCTTGGGTAGGTACACAAGCCAAACAAAGGGTTAGCGTTCAAAAAGCTCAAGAAATGCTTTGTTAAGGCATTCATTACCTGGGCTTTTTGCCCAGGTAATGCAGCTAAATGAATTGTGCAGGCAGGAGTCTTGTTATTTATCCCTCTCATTTCTTTAAAATAACATTTTGGAGGTGATAGGATTGTATATGGTAGCTTCCAACAGCCAAAAGAAATTATCTAACACTCCAGTAGCCACACAACCACTAGGCTAAATGAAGAAATAGGAAAGGGCAATGGGGATTGGGATGGAATTACAGCATCCTTTTCAGCAGTACCATACAGACAGGTAAGATTAAGAATAACATAAAAATGTTCTCTCGATTAAATTGTGCTTCTATTACTTTCTTCATGTCAACCCCCAAAATACAGCACTCAGTACTGTTGAATACTGAGTTCTGAGCACAAACTGTAGGTTCTTGCAAGATAAAGTCAAAAGTACTTCAGGAAAATTTACTGTGGACACATTTCAGCTCTCCACTACATTGTGTCTATTCTGAAGGGAAAAAACAGGTGACAAACTGATTACTAGCGTAAAACAGCCTGCAACTACCAGCAAACTTCGAGATTTAAACAGTGTCCAAAGAGTTAGTATATTCACACAGAATTTCTCCTTTCTTAAAAAAACAACAACCCAACATAGACTAGATATGATAGAATCATAGAATATCTCAAGTTGGAAGGGACACACACAGATCATCAAGTCCAACTCCCTGCTCCTTGCAGGACTGCCATTAAGCTCAGCAGCGACCGCTAAGGAAACCTGTGTAATAGCAGAATGAATAGCTGGTATTAAACTGTGGAGCTAATTTGCTACTTTTTTTTTTTTTTGTATCTCAAAAAATATGAATATTTTATTTTTATATGCAATTCGGGGGGGTTTTGAGTCCTCTGAAACACTTCTGAGTGTTGCACGACATGTACCAATGATAAAAGGGAATACTTCCCAGTGCTGGTTATTAATTCTGTATATAACAAACACTTCTTTCTTCAGTATTTCTTTCAACTCCATTTTTGAAGTTTTGAAGACTAAATCATATGAGTAAGAACATCATTCAGAAGCTCCCTGAACTCTTGACAGGCACAAAAGATAACCGCCATGTCATTAAAAAAATTATAATACTGTTTGATCCCATGGGATACTTTGCAAAGGTAACATAAATAAATTGAAATTCAGACTGTTGAGAAAACATAATGGAGAATTAGTTGTAATTTAGAACTATGAGTATATTTTAAGCTCTGTTGACTTCATCTATCAGATAATTCTTTAGGAAATATAAAGAGTGTTACGATTTGTTTGGCACTGTAATTTTTTATGTTACCATTACAAATCACTGCGTTACTTTCACTTATATTATCAGATGTGGTCTGATAGTGTAGGTAAGGTCTGTTCTTAAAGCACAGAAATAATGTGATCCCACAAAGTAAACATTTACCAATGGAAATAAACACACACTGTTACTCAGTATTCCATTTATTAAAATTGCTTAGTTACCTCTTTCCTTGCTTGCTTTGTTCAATTAACTCAATTTTCAGGTTTTTATAGTCCTTTTTATATCTCTGCAACATGTTTCCTCTTTCCATTGCTGTTTTCTGGCTTAGATTTAGTTTCTCTTCTGCATCTCTATCAAATAAACAAAGCATAATTTAAAAAATTAGGAACTATTTTTGTAAAGAAACCCGATTTTTATTGCTCTCTACCCCACATGATGTCTGCAAAGCAGTAGCCAAACACCCTGCAACTCTTAAAACTAGGTTTGGAACATCCATAGTCTCCAGATTCCCCACAAGGATGTCTGCAGTCTGGAGTGGTGTCCAAAGCTCATCAATAGGCACCAGATGTCACAGTTGCCAACGACATAGATGGCTGACTCTGTGCCATGACATCTGAACACAGAAATCACCATTTTTCTTTCAGGAGTGACTGGTCAGGATGCACTTATGGGAAACAGCAGCACTAAAATATAAATTAAGTATTTTTACTTCTTTAGTGAAGACAGACCATTGAGATATTAATTGAATATTATATAGCATGAGATTGTAAGAAACTGACAGACAGGTATGTCTTCCTGACAGCCTCTGGACACTGTTTACGTTTAGTTTGGCATTTGTCTCCATCAATATTTTCATGAAGAATCTTTTACTTTACATGCTGCACAATCATGTTTGAAAATATGTATGCTCGTTTACAACAGAAGATATACAGTTGTGTAACATAAAATCACTCCAGTTAGTTATAAGGGCACATTCATGTTTAACATACATTATGAACTGGTTTAACAACCTTTATTTTTTTTTCCCCTCCATTTCTTGAAGTACATTCAGTACAAAATAAAACACCTCCCTCCTCCTAAATTTGGATCCAAAGTGAAAGTTTCAAGCCCTAGATTACAAGACCCACACAGTACCAGTTATCATGACACCCCAAAGAGGAGATTGTGCTGGCAAGCAGACCACAGTAAAATGATGATACAGAACTACACTTGTTACCTGAGAATCTTATCTTGAGCTGAAACTTCTGCTTCCAAGTTTACAATCTGTTCTTTCAGCTTTGGAATGCTGACTAAATGTGCATCTAAAGTCGATTCAAGGTAAGAAATCTGAAACAGAAACATATTTGAGGTTTAATTAACATGTGTGTGTGTATGTGTATATGTATATACACACACACATACACCCACACATTCAGATGAGACACAGAATAATCTGCTTACTGAATGATACAGTGCTCTTAACCTTACTGTAGAAGATGCATGTTCATCTACAGGAACTGAACTTCAGTCTTCCAGTTGACACCCTTCCAGTTCCCTAGCACCACTGCAGTGTGGTACATTGTCTAGCACACTGATTTCTTTCTATGTTGATCTTGTCTCTTATTTTTCCTCAAAAGTTTATATTCCACTATTTGTTCTGTCCATGCCAGACAGTCAAACATTTATCTACTCATTTATTTACTTATATATCTCCAAGGCTGAAGATAACATTTCTCAAACAAAGTGCATTAACCATAGCTATGTTTTCTTAATGTTACCTATAAGCTCAATACAAGAATAGACTTGTCCTGAAAAAACAAGTGTGTATTAAATCAGCAATGATTTATTAGATACAATATTTCCTTCTAACCCACCTTTACTTTTTCAAAATAACAATATTAATCCAACCTGGAAGGTTAATTTTTTTTATTTCCTAGACAAATGTCTACCATGCCATTATTGTTCCCATTATTCCCCATGTAGCTCAGACATGTGAATGTACAGTACTAAACACATTATTGAGCTATTTTCTTACATAATGGATTTTTTTCATTCTGTGACTTACTGGCTTTAGATTAAACTTTGGAACATGAACAGATAGAATTCATAATTAATATAGTTGTTTTCCCCATGAAGAAATAGTTTCTAAACGATCTCGTTCCAAAATAAATGCTGAATATTATGTAAAAATAGAATATAAAAGTTTTAATCTATCTAATATTTAGACAAAATAAAATCCAGCATGTTCTGCTTGGAGTGACATTCAAAAGTCATCGTCACTGGGGCTTTTAAGGGGGTTTGGTTTTGGTTTTCTGATGAATACACTGAAGATACATACTCTTGTTTTTGACTGCAGCAATTCAAAGTTCATTGTTTCCAGTCTGTTCTTTAGGTAATGGTTCTGAGAAGTCAAAGATGCATTTTGCTCATGAAGGGCATCCAGCTTCTCCTTAAGACGTTCATCTTCTTCCATGGTTTTATCAGAAGTTGTGGATACTGGGTAAGACTAGACATAACAAAAGGGTTTATATATGTATTTTATATATATATACACACACATGCATATGTAAGCAATATACACATCAATGGAAACCTGCAGAACAAACATACTGAAATATTATGTTTAAGACAGCTCCACAGATTGTCTGACAGTTGCCTGTTAATATGATTGTCCATTGCTACGCTATCGACTCCAAGCCCTAAAAGCAAAACAATTCTCATAAACATAGTAAAGAACAGAAAACCATGGTAATAAAAATAAGTAATGAAGTGCAATATTTACTTCAGATGTCCTTTGAAAATTCTTGCCTGATGTTTTACCAGCATTCGTCTTACAGCTGAAAAAGCCTTGATAGTTGCAGTTAGGCTGAACAAGGTCCTTCGGAGTGAAGTCTACAGCCTCATCCAAGCAGGGTCCATAACGCTCACTTGTATGAGTGCTAGGAGTGAAAGTAAGAAGTTGCTATGCTATTATTATTATTTTAAACTGCTCATAAAGAGTTTTCAAAAGGAGCTACTTGTGATAATCCATTAAACTGAATAAGATAGAATTACACTACAAGAGATGGGCTGATCTCATTCCCAAACACACTCATACCTGGAAAGCTCTTCCTCTACAGTTTGTAGGTTTTTTTCAGTTCTTCTCAGCTGTTTCCATAATGATTGCAAATTTGCAAGGTCTTCATAAGCAGCACTTTCAGAGCAAGTCCACATAGTACAACCCACTGGCGCCACACGTATGACTAAAGTAACATTTAATGTCAAAACATTGTTAAAAATATGTGAAAAATATTTGCAAAGTTACTTTTAAAGACACCAAAATAAGGCAACTAGGAAAAAAGAGGAAGGAAGAAAAAAAACCAAAACCACCTAATACTGACTTGACAAATGTCATTGGTGACATCTCACACACCACCTCTCCCCACATTCACTACATATGAGTGATATGCCATCAGTGACGCGGTTTAATGGTGGTCTGGCAGTCCTGCGGTAATGGTTGGACTTGATGATCTTAAAGGTCTTTTCCAACATGGCTGATTTTATAATTCTATTCTATAAAAATCACTCTGTACAAATTGTCATTTTTTTGAGAAAAATTTGAGTTCATTTTGTATTCATAAAGTGCAAGAAGCTTCATGAACTATGAAAACCAGAAAAGCCTGCTATACATTGGTTGCCAAAGATCCCTTGTACAACACACCTTAGTTACTTCAGAAGCCCCATGCAGCTGCTGGCAGGGTGACTGAAAAGGTGACAGCATATACAATCACACACTCATAGAACAGTTTGGGTTGGAAAGGATGTCCAAAGCTCATCTAGTCCAATCCCCTGCAATGAGCAGGGACATCTCCAACTAGATCAGGCTGCCCAGAACCACATCCAGCCTGTCTCCAGGGATGGCACATAGACAAAAAACTTGCCTCGCCATTCAATAACCAGCAAAATTAAAGATCGGAGCAGCGAGGACTTCACAGAAGAGACACTGTGAGTTGCTCAGCTGGGGGGTGTCTTGACAACACGACACACGTCTTCAGTACAGAATATAACCTAGTAAACCGGGCTTCAGATGGGAAACGGACTCAGATGATGCACAGAAACCAATGCTGGCCTTTTCCCAGCAGCGCGGGGGTCCCTCCGCCGCCAGGCCTCGCAGGCCGGCACCCGGCACGGCGGCGATTCCGCCTCGGGGAGACCCAGATCGCTGAGGCCCAGCACTGGCGATACCGGCGCTCCCTGCCTCAGCGCTCTGCACAGGACCAAAGAGACGGGAGAAACTAAAAGGGGCTACACCTCAGCTGTCAGCACCGATCCCCCCCTCACTGGAGCCCGCAAGGCCCAAGCCTCACCCCGCTTCAAACAGCGCGGGCCCGATCAGCCCAGTCCCGCCTCCCGGCCAGGCCCATACCACACATGCGCAACCCACTACTTCACCTCACGCTACCGCCGCGTCCCTGCGTCGCGGTGCACTGTGGGCAGGCGCCTGCGATTGGTGGAGCTCTCCGAGGGGCCGGGCCAGGCCCTCGCTCCGCCACGGCGGGTGTTCTCCGCACGCCGCCGGGATGGGGGTATGGCTGTTGGTGCCGCTCGGGTGTTTCGCGCTGCTCTTACCGCCGCCCGGCGCCGCCGAGTTCAGCCCGTCCCTGGACAGCGACTTCACCTTCACGCTGCCCGCCGGCCGCAAGGAGTGCTTCTACCAGCCCATGCGCAAGGAGGCCTCGCTGGAGCTCGAGTATCAGGTCAGGCAGGGCGGCTGCGGGGACGCCCCAGGCGGGTGAGCGAGGGGCCTTCCCGCACGGCAGGGCTGACGGGAGACGGGCGGGGCGGTTCGGCTGCCGGTTCCCTCTGACAGAGGCTCTCCCGGGGGCCGCGGCCAGCTCCATCCCGGTGTCGTTCCCGATCAGCGGCCCCGAGGAGAATGTGCGCCGTGCCTGCGGTGCCGCCGGCCCTGTGTGGCGCTGAAAGACCCATGCTGGGATTACACGGTAGTGAAAACTCTGCCTTTATGGTTGAGGGGAACCCCACCCGCCCCCCAACGTTTACAGCCTATTTATAATTGTTCTAAATAGATCACTTCCTTACAAGATTTCCAGTTGCCATTCCTTTAAAACGGGAATAAACGTAGGAATGTAATGGCCGTGGCCTTGCATAGTAATTCTAAAGCATAAAATTGTTGCTGATGCACAGACCCCTTACTTGCCTATCTTTGTGTTGATAAAACACTTCTAATCTCAGTGGTGCAAGGTTTTTGGAAACAGCCTCATTTAACTAGACTAACGTTAAGGTCTTGATGCCCTTCTTGGGAAGAGCAGAGTTGCCCAGATACTCTGGGAATGTTCTCATTACTTTCTTTTTTCTTCCTTAAAATAGACTTCTCAATACATCAGGCATAGACAGGGAAGCTGCAGTGACTGTTTTCCTGTTCAGTATTGTGCCTTAGAATTGGCTGGGATCTGTCTCTTCCCCATCACATTTTCCCCTCTTCTGCCTCCCAAATAAAAATACAAAGCTGAAATTGCTGATTATTTTGTAGCAGAACTGAACAAGAATGAAAGATTGAGGTGTCTAAGCAAAAGGAAACTTATTTGGGATCAGTAATCTAGGATTTTATTTTACGGAGAACAAATGTGTGTAACAGTGAGTTTATTTCTACTTGGGCATAAATTTCTCACCACTACTACCAACAGTAAGGATTCATCTATTTATTTGAATGTTTAGAAAAGGACCTCTGTATGATACTGGAAATAATTGATTTTGTGCTTAATTATCCTGAGTTAAGCTAAATCATAGAAGTGTTTAATGTGGGATGGAAGTCAAAGACATAATGCAGTAAACTATGATGATAGGAAGCTTTGTTCTGGATATTTAGATTGTATCATAGCCCTAAAGGCATATCACTATATATGGGTTTTAATTAGGTCAGCTCTTAGCTACTCATGTTGTCCTTTCTCTTTTTCTTGGTAAGTCTCCAATGTCACTAAGCCGGTCTAAACTTTGCCCTCAATTTCAGCAGAAGTAGACTGCTGTACTCAAATAGCTCACTGGAAAACAAGTGAACACAAAAAATCTCCTGGCATGGACCTAAGTCATAAAATTATCTCACTCTGACCCCCTTACAGCTTTGTTGTACTGTACACACTTATTGTGAGCTTAGGAAGCTAAATGCCTTCAATTCCTTCTGCCTTTGGGAAATGAGAATGCCCTTGGAGAATTCAGACCTTGAATCTGATTAGAAGGTGAGGTGATCTGTGGTACAGTTTTGAGTGGCAGAGGAAGTCTAGTACGGCCGCCTACACTGCTAATTCACACAACAGCAAGATCTTGGGGATGAGGCTGCATAGCTTGTGTTCTTCCACAAATATATGTGTGCATAAACATGACAGACCTTTGTTACAAGGTTTCCAACATAAAACTAGCTCTGGCACTTACCCACTGATGATGTGTGTCATAGAAATGCTAGATTTGGCTATCGGCTAGTGTTCTTACAGGTTGTTTGCCCTGCCCAATGACAAAATTGTACACAGTATTAAAAAAGAATAGGGAAAGGCTCAATAGCAGCTCAACATAATTGGTCATGTTTAGTTTAAGATTTTAAATGCTTAAAATGCTTTTGGATTGAACCAGTTAATAAACAGTTTCAAATTAGCTTGGTGTGAACTCATATTGACAGATTCAACTTTTGGATTCTTCCTGTATCAATTCTCTTCACTGAAAATGTTGCCATCAGCAATGCAAAAAGGAATTGCACTGGTTGGAAGTGGTTTTGTTTTTCTTTGATTCACAGGTTCTAGATGGAGCAGGATTAGATGTTGATTTTCACTTACTGTCTCCAAAGGGTGAAACTCTAGTTTTTGATGAAAGAAAATCAGATGGAGTTCACACGTAAGTTTAATATCTACAAATTAGAAGTGTTAAATAAAGTACTTTTCTGATTTCTTTAGCAAATATAACTAAACCAAAGGTTGAATACTTTTTATTCCTTACTATGATGAAAGACTTTCTAATAGGAAATGCTTTTTACATAGATACTACCATAAAGTGAAAGATATTTTTGGTTTAATGATAGTTCTTAAAGGTCAGCAAACAAAAAAAGTTACCATGGAATTGAAAAAGGTATCCACATCTAGTATCAAAAGATCTTGTGAGTCATATAAATAATAAATGGAAATGTTCCCCATTTTTCCAGCACTTTAATCAAGATATGTAGTAATTGCTCTAATTGTACTATCAAGTATAAGAATTCCTCTCATAATACAGCTTTTTTGTAATGATTAGCTATGACTCAAAATTCGAGTAAAGTAAAATGAAAGTAAACTTCTCCATAACTTCAAGCCTTTAGAGTAAGTGTGATGGTTATGCTGTGCCTGTGCAACCTGTAATGTGTCTCTGACTACTTATTTTAGTATAAAAAAAGCATAATTTAGTTATTTCTAAACAGAGGACTGCCACTCTTTAAGAGGCAAGTCTGCTTACAAAACTTGATTTTTCAGAACCAGAACAAAAAGTGTAGTTAATAACATTTGCTTATACACACAGGGTGGAAACAGAAGATGGGGATTATATGTTCTGCTTTGACAACACATTCAGTACCATTTCTGAAAAGGTGATTTTCTTTGAACTGATCCTGGACAACATGGGAGAAGACGGAGAAGATCAGGAAGACTGGAAGAAGGATGTCACAGGCACAGATCTCCTAGATATGAAATTGGAAGACATTCTGGTTAGTATTTAATCTTTTTAATTCTTTTGAACATGAGCATTTGGAAAAAAACCTCAGTATCATTTAGCTATGCTGCCTTGGTCTGGTGCATCATCCTGGAAACTATTCCAGTTCTATATATTGCTTTTACCGATACATCAAGTCTAACACCATAGGTCTCTTGTTTCCAAACTGCCTAGCTCTCAAACTCACTGTTTCCAATTTAGGTTTCTTTCTTCCTACTTGTCGTGGTTTAAGTGACCCTACTACTAAAATGGGACATTTGTCTCTATCAGCAACAAAATGAATACTTGTATTAAAGTACTGTTTGATGCCAGTGATATGTAGTTGAAATCACTGCATGGATTTTTCTAATGTTTGAAACTAAAATACTGTGTTAGCCTCTTCTTCCCATCTTGAATCCCAGCCCCATATTGAATACTTCAGTATATCTTCATATAATATAATTTTCAATAATTTATGTATTACTTCAGTAGTCTTTTTTATCCTTAAAATGTTATTTCTTCTCTTCAGAATAATATACAGGGCAGCAGGTAATCTGTACTACACTGCAGGTTCACCTTTGCAAGCATTCTAACTATGGTAATGTTTGTTTAAACTGCGTGCTGACCCTGTCTGATGTAGGATGAAGGCTACTGCCAAGTCAAAACTTTATTTCCTTTCTTGATCATTAAATGTTGAGATTACTTTAGACGAGCATTATGTGGTTTTCCTATACTACTGTTCTTAGTGCTTGACAGGATGCAAATTGTGTTTATTGCTACAGCCAACAGGTATCTTAAAAACAAAACAAACTAAAAATAAGACCAGCCACACACAAAACCTAAGCCAACATCCACAAACACTGAATACACTTGTATAAAGAATGCCATTTTATGTATTCTAGTTATTGCAATAAAGAAAATGCAGATTTTGAAACAGTAAGATCTTCTATAGCCATACAATAAACATTCAAATAGTTCAAACAGCACCTGGAAACCTAGCCTGAACTTCTTTAAGACTGGCAATCAAGACAATTAGAAAGACTTAGAGGGGAAATTGTGAAGAAAATACTTCTCACTCATCACAAGCAATACTTGGGTGATTTTGATAGCTTGACATACTTGGTAACAAGATTGAATGGATTTTTTTGTGTATATACTGGTGTTATCTTTCAGAAGAAAAAGAACTACAGAACTTAATCTTTGAGAGCTTTGCAGATCTTATGAAGTAGGTAATTTCTGTAAAGTTCACAATAGTACTTGATGCCATTGTTTTCTTATTACTTCACTTGCAAGTTCTGTGAGGAACTTACATAAACACTTCAGAGTTGAACTTTTTAAAGATAAATAACATATTTGCTGGGGAAAATGGGGAATTGTATCTTACTTTTAAAGCTCTTTTATGGTGTTGATGTTCCTTATTGTGTAACACATGAACTTCACTATTGCAAGATTATTTGGCTTCCAAAAAATAGCTCTTTTGAAATACTTGTTAAATATGCAGTGGAGAAAATGTTCACGGAGTAAATGTTATTGCTGGATTTAACTTTTTTGAAAAAAAGTTTCAGCCTCCTGTTACTGCACACATTACTTTTCTCACAAATAGTTATTTGTGGGCCCCATAATTGTATCAATGATGTAAATCAGCACTTGGTGAGATCAGCTTTTAGGTTATGACTGTCTACTATGTTACAGATGAAATTTTAACAAGTCATAGGACCAGGCATTTACTTTGTAAGGAGTGGATCTTGAGCTGCTGTTATGTCCAGGGTGTTCATGTACTTCCTCCAGTTCCCCTGCTTTGTAGCACCCTCCAATTGTCCTATTCAGAATTTATTGTCAAAATTCTGCTTTAGTATTAAAGCTGAAACAGCAATTTACAACCACTACACTGAAAGCATAAAAAGATGGGAATATTATTGTAGTTCTTTTCTTTCACTACAGCTATAGTCCAGATGGTAGTTTGCATTATAAAGTACCTTCATTTGATTATCACGTAAACAAAAACCTCGTTTGTCTGCTGCTACATAACTAGTTGTGAGACTAGTTCTTCAGAGATCACTGCTTTTTGCTTGCCTTAAATACGTGGAATCACAGTTCTCCAAGATATGTGGAATATTAAAAAACTGGTTTTAGGTTTAAGTTCTCTCTCCCCTCTCTTGCCTATAGAAGGGAAAACCCAAATTTATATAGAACCTTAATGCTGTGTTAACTAAACCTTTTTAGGTGATATACAACAAATTAATGAGGTATTTCAAAGTGAAAGTGACTGTCATCTTGGATAAATTTGAATTACAGATTGTAACACAATGTTAGTATTTTTATGTGTTGCAAGCTATACATTTAATTCATGTGGTTTGGGGTTTTTTCTTCTAAATATACTCTTTTGTTACTTACCAGGAATCCATCAACAGTGTCAAAGCCAGATTAAGCAAAAGTGTCCAGATTCAGACCCTGCTCAGAGCATTTGAGGCTCGGGACCGGAATATACAAGAAAGCAACTTTGACAGAGTGAATTTCTGGTCCATGGTCAACTTGGGTGTAATGGTGGTGGTATCAGCTGTTCAGGTTTACATGCTGAAAAGTCTCTTTGAAGACAAAAGGAAAAGTAGAACTTAATATTCATTATGATCATAACAATGTAACAGGTATTATGATCATAACAATGTAACAGGTATGGGGGGAGAGGGGCAGAAAAAAACCTACTACAGTGAAGAACAACAAAAAAACATGACCTTTCAGATTCTTTTCAACAGGCAGTAGACATCAAGTTTTCAAATCACATTGGGCTTTTTGGCTGGGGGGTGGTGGTCATTTTCTTTGGGTTTTGGGTTTTTTGTGCGTGTTTTTGTGTTACCATAAACAAAATGCCTTGCCCCAAGTTATTCCATTTTTGCAAGTGCTACTATTTTGTTTTACTTGTAGGATTTGTTCATGATTGTGAACAACTAACTTATGCATAACATGGTGAACATGGAAAAGTAATGTTAAATGAGGTTTGTGGCAGGGACACAAGAGTCATCAGAGGGATGGAGCACCTCTCCTGTGAGGAAAAAGAGAGTTGGGGTTGTACAACCTGGAGAGGACTCCAGAAAGACCTTATTGTGGCCTTTCAGTTCTTAAAAGGGACCTGTAAGAGTGGGAAAGACTTTTTCTCAGGACGAGGGGTGATGATTTTAAACTGTCACTTTTTCCATGTTCACATAAAACTTCTTAAATGGTAACTTAAACATTGGTTTATTTGCTGTTAAACTTTGAATGAATTTACAGATGTGCCTAAGTGTTTACAGGACTGGGGCCCACTGGAGTAGTCTGTCCTTACTATGATTTATCTTGATTTACGCATTTTCAAAAATGTTCAGCGTCTGTTGCATGGCATCATGGAGGAACACTGGGCTATCAGTGCAAGAACAAAACGAGAACTCTTTTTATACACAGATGACTAACATCAGCACTTTAAAGAAGCACCATCATCATGAACTTGAGTCATTGTTGGAAAGAATTGGAGAAAATAGGTGCAATTCCTGTTCACAGATCTTTCTCTCTTCAGTTGTACAAGCCTGTTACCATTTTTAGCTGTTATACGAGATTCAAGAAGCAGGTGTTATGGTATAAAAACAAATGCCCACACCCCCTGAAGTAGGGTTTGCATACTCTTAGTTGCTGCAACATCATGTAATAGTAATTTTCAAGAAGTTATTTCTCATATTATACTTTCCCTTTAATAAAGGGGAGTGTGTCACAGTATGTGGAAAGATTAACATTCATTTTTATAATCTCAAATCCCTATTTGCCAATTTATTTTTTATTGTCTACTACATCTATGACTAATAGAGCAGTTAATTGGGAGACTGACATAGGCATGACAACAGAAAGCTGTTGCCCTAAACTTTCCCTTTTTGCTTACCTTCACAAGTCTTTGAGCTATGTATATACACTCAGTTCATGTGAGCAGTGTTTCTCACATCTAGCTATTTATTTAAGTCACAAAATACATGAACAGTTAAGTATGGGCTTCAAAATTCAGAATCAACAGAATACGGAAAATTAGTTAATCAAGGCAAAGCTGTCCTCAAATCACTAATTGGTAATTTCTAGATAAAGTGGTTTTTACAGGGTACAGGGAATTTTTGCCAAAACCCCTGATGTGAGATTAACTTTAAGTCAGTCATTTCTATAATGCACCAAGTCACTCAGATTTCTTCTATAAATGTATTAAAAATACATTTCCTCACAAAAGTGTTGTTTCAAAAGCACTTTCTTAAACACTTTAAGAAGTGTATTATTACATTGTGCCTGTTGTTGGGTCATCTGGATACAAACAGCGGAATTGCAACTTTGATACTTTGTTAGCAAAAATTATTTTAAGGAGATAAAACAGGGTCAATAAATGCATGAAAACACACTTCCTTCAAATGAAGCAGATGCTAGCAAGGGCTACAGTACACAGGAACAGCACTCGGACCATGGGACCTAGCAATAATATTTCTAAATAGTTTTTATAAGCAAAAGTATTATTCCTTACAGGACTTGTTACAGAGGGCTCTGAAGGTGGTTGAGCACCTTTTCTTTTTGCAAAGCTATGTCCAAATAGTACTGTTTCCCTTTAGGGTTCTGCCTGTCTTCTTTTTCCACATGATGCAATCTATTCTAAACTGCCTGGAACTGGAAAGCTGGTTTCTATGGTCAGGGCAAAGCCTAGGAAAAAAACTCTTTTCTGATAGTGGCAAATAATACTTCTCTGCCATTTTCCTGTATATCTTGCAGTACCAGTAGACCATGTACCTGTATCAGGGTATAAGCCAAAGCTCACTGAAGTCAGCTGCCAGGTCCCTTCAGGACAGACAAACAAGATCCTTAGGGCTCTTCCCCTTTAGATAGAAGAGATTTATCTTTGGTTGCATTACCATATGTCTGATGCTACACACTATCTACAAAATGCTGAACCAGCTCTGCAAAGCTGTGACTAAGACTCCTACCTCTTACCTGTTAGATTCCAGATTTCAGCTTAGACTTCCAATAGAGGCACTCTTCCAAGTTTCCCCAAGGCACCTCAAGGGATTAGGTTCCCCAGCTGCTCTGCTGTGCCTCTGATAGTGGCTAAATATCCAGCAGCAAAATAGTATGTTGTATTAACTGAAGATGCTCATGAATGCTGGCTTCTCCATCTCAAGACTGAACTGCAGTAGCTTCTTCAATTACAAAATGAAGTTTCTGGTAGAAGGAAAATAACAATTGTCACCAGAGTTCCTCTGGAAGAAATTACTATTTTACAACCAAGAGCTCTGATTGTGTCTTTTCCCCCCATGCAAGGTTCATTATAGAAAACAAAACAGGGAATAAAGTTAACTATGCTTTAACTTTGGCAGCTGGAATATGTTTATCATAGGTGAAGGATTTGGCATTTGGACTTGTAGATAAGTAAGATTTCATTTGGCTTTGGAAGAACAGGTTGCTTTTGATAGTATAAAATTTACAAAGAATATAAATCTACATTTTTTCTCTTAATGGACTTTTTATTCAGAATTAAATCTTTTAAGACCTGCAAATGTTGAATAAAAATGTGTAAAAACAATTTTAATTGATTTTCAATAAATTAACTTTAAACCTGCATTTGTGTTCTTAATTTTATAATCAAGGAAGAATGCTTTATCTACGAATGCTGATACTGAGGTAACAACAGCTTTAACAATGCACCTTGCTCATTTAGGGTGGTGAGGCACTGGCACAGGTTGCCCGAAGTGGTAAATGCTCCATCCCTGTCAGCATTCAAGGCCAGGTTGGACAGAGCCTTAAGCAACATGCTCTAGCATTCAGGTGTCCCTGCCTGTGGGTGATCTTAAGGTCCTTTCCAGTCCAAACCATTCGGTGATTCTCTGTCATGCATTGTTTAAATTGTGTTCTGTAGCCTAAAATCAACTTCAGCAATGGAAATAACTTAAGATTTGCATAGGTGTCAGGTCAGAATGTTACCAACTCGTTATCTTTGTAACAGAAAGTACATTGAGTTTTGAAGCTCTCAGATGCATGTCAGGTATGAGCCTTAGATTTCCCCCCCTCAATATCTGTACCTTAATACTTACACTCCATATTGCACCTGCAGTTCTTTACACACACAGAACAGTGCAAGTTCCAGTTACACAGGCAACTTTAAGAACAATTCTAGGAAGAACAGTAGGTACTGTCTTGCGCAAAATTATAGCAGGGGTCAGTATTACTACTGAGACTAGTAAAAAATTATTACTGAATTTCTGTGTTCCAAGAAGAGACAGCAAGACCCAAGGCTAGCCTAAATCAACAGCCATGACTTTGGGAAAACGTCTGTCTAGTTGAGCATTACACATTATTAACTAAAAGTAGTCCCAAATTTCTCACTTTGGGAAAAAAAAGTGGGAGGAAACACCTCAAAGAATAGATAATGGGAATTTGCAAGTTTGATAGCTCAGAAAGACAGCAGCAAATAGTCATCTGAAGTCAAAACAAACTTTAGAGTGCTCTAACCCAATGACTGTCTGTTCTCAAAAACCCTTTTTAGAAAGTGTATTACAGAAGGCACTGTCTTGATCAGTTGTTCTAACTTACATGCATGTTTGTGCATTTACAATTAACAACAGTGCATTGGTCATGTGAATTTAGAAAAGTATTTCTCAACAGCAAAAATCAGCTGACATCTAGTGATCTGTTGAGTACTTCCATTAATACATACATTTTCTTCCTCTAAACAACTTCACAATTTTAAATACTTCCATTTCTCATTAGGTATCGTCATTAAAAACAAGCATGTAGGGAAAAATGAAAGGAAAAGAGGAAAGCAGTATCACAGATTATTAAAGTGTAGCAATCAAGAAACCCAATACTAGTTATTAATGCACGATAATTTCACATTATTCATAAGCATATACACAAGATGCTGAGATGGAAAGCTCAATGTTTTGGGGCAGTTTTTTCAGTTTAGTCAAGTACTACACAGGACAAATCCGATCTTGTTTTTCACTTCACAAGACTCTCAATAAGCCTGACCTGTCCGGAAGCCTGCTAACCACATTGTTCAAATAACGAAACAAGAACTTCCTCTTTGTACTGTGTTTGAACTGATGAAGTAAATAATTAAACTACAACAGTAGAACATTGTGTTGCCAGATCAGACAGTTAATAGTAGAAGGAACAGTGGTTTGACTCAAAAAGGTATGTGTTCAGTGAAAACAATCTAAAGCCCTTTTGGACACAGACATCCAAAAAGCATGCACAAGTTCCCTTAACTGGTCTCTTGAAGCACACACCATGAGAAATAACACCTGCCTTCACTTCTTCCTGTAGCACAAGTCCCTTGCATCTCAGTGCAGTGCAGCACTTCCTTGTCGTAACTGCTTGTTTTTCAAGTTGCAGCACTCTCCTCAGTCTATGACTATGTAGTACAGTGGTAAGACCACCTTACTAAACATTTTATTCAACCAGCCACAGCAATTAGGCTTTTTTCCTCTAAGTATTTTTTAAATAAATATTTCCATAGCAATTTGTCCTAAAGATTCAGTATCTTCAACAGTTAAAAAAAGGCAACCTGAAACCATGTAGTCTGCTGAGCTGTATCTGATGTCTTTATAAATTAACAATTCCTGTGCCTTCCCTCATTTCAAAGAGGAATTCTCTTGAGACTTTAATTGTAAAAACTTGCCACTTTTGGTGCGGACATGAGACAAACAATTCTTAGTTATTGCCAAGAAATGGCTTATGTTACGTCCTTCCCTCTTCCATGCTTTCCCCCTGCTCCAGCAGTATCGTATCACAGAAACTCACTGCTCACACAGAAGGAATACGAGATGAGCAAGCATTGTATTTGTAAAGTGTTACAGAAATGAGCAGAAGCTCTACGCCTTACTGTATGAATCTCTTGTCAAAACCAACGGTTTAAGGTAACTAAAACAGTAGTAAAGTTATTAAAATCAGAAATTTATAAAAGGTAGTAAACCCACCTGCACTGCTGAAGTTTCAGCAGAAGCATCTGACTTCCATCATCTTCTCATGCTATCAATAGCTATAATTAGTAAGATTTGGAACCCATATAGCTCACAAGCCCCTTTTCTTCCCTTAGCGTGTACCAAGTTTCTAGAAACAAGATACCTTTCTTCACTCTCCACCTAATACCTACAAAATTATAAGAGAGGTTTGTAAGAACAGCGTAGTGCAAAGAGAAAAATTCTTAGAGCATTTATGTATAGTCTGTATCGTTAATTCAACATTATGTTAAAGGACCAGGTACTAAACAGCTAAGTAAGGTAATTTTTCTCTTATGCTGGAGGATTTCAGGGAATGGTAAAAACCAACAATACCCATGGCTGTTCAGCAAAAAAAAAAAAAAAAAAAAAAACAACCACCAAACAAACCAACCCCAAACAAACAAACAAAACAAAACAAAAAAAACACAAACAGTCCTGTTCCTAACAGTTAATGAGACAACTCTTGATTGCATTCTCCGGAGAGACATGAAAAAGGCAGAACCAGACACACACCACCATCAAAGCCCTAATTATGCTTCAGGTATTACTCATGTTGCCTCTCCTGAAATCACTTTTCCCAGTCACTTCTCTCCCACAGGAGGACACCACGAGACTGGGAATAAGGAAACAAGCTCAGGTACCAAGTGGCCAAATAAACAGGCGTTCCCAAACTAACACTTCAGCACTTACCTGTGCAGGTGTGCACCTACAATATCGGGCTCATTACCACAAGCACAGAAGAAAAAGCATGGGAGAAAAGAAGGCATGAGCTAAATTAGCAATTTCCAATTATTTTAAAGTGTCCATCAAAGACACGTGTGTTCAGCCATCAGCTTAAATTCAGCATCAGCCAAACCCAACTTACTATCCTAAATCCTTTTCTCCATCTCTAGAAAATATTTTCTGCTATCATACGCTTAACTGCAGTGTTACTTTCCATTCAGGCAGATGTGAGGGAACTAGAGAAATGGTAACTATTTTAAAGCCTGAAAATTACCTGCATAGCATTTGCAAGATTCATCCTCTTTCCTCTGTGCACAGAACTGATAATCCTGTCCAGTTTGTCCTTATCACTGTGTTTTGACTACTGCTCCAGCTCCAGCCTTGACATGGTCCATCTCAATTCACCAGTTTCCTTGCAAAACATAACACTAAAGATCACTTTAGTAGGACATTACCAAGACATACCCATTTTTGTTTATCCACTTAACTTTACCCCTACTCCCCAAACTGCTTGTCTGCACCTTCAAGGCCTCTTATTTCTCTTCATGTTTAATCAAAATACTAACCTTCATTTCCCACATCAAGCTGAGACACTTTTCAAAATTCCTTTATAATCTTACTCAAAATGCTTGTTATGCATAGAAAAGCAGATTTTATTCAAAATTCCTCTTGAAGTTTTTGTTGAGAACAACAAGTAGCTTGCCATGACAATTATTTTACATTTCTGAGCAGTCATTTACTATTTCTTTGCTGTCATGCTCATGTAATGCCTATATTGTTAGAATGGCCTCAAAAGAGATTTCACCTTCCTAAATACTACAGCAATACAAATAATACATGATGGAAAATTATTAAATCTGATACACATAGAAATGATTCTAAATCAGTGACCACAACAAAGTTGAATTACATATATTTACACACATGCATACACACAATGATCAAGTCATACCAAAATGAAACTGTTACATACAGCAACATTTGTATTTTTCCTTTAGAGACTCCATTACTACATGCAATGAAATTCACATACAATGAGAAAGGCATTTGTAGGTGTGCTTTAATTGCTACTCTAGCTGTATCTTCATCAGCACTACTGCAGCATTTCCCAGTACAGGACCCCTTGTAGCAAAGCATCCCTCAACCATAGCTGGAACACTAGTTAGTGTTTGTGTGCAGGGCAAGTGCCTCCAGGACAACAACAGCAAAGTCAGAGAAACAACAGATGGGAGAATGCCACCAAGTACATACTTCACAAGAATACAGAATCAAAACTCGTTCTTCTCTCTCAAAAAATACACACATTTAATGTTGGTCTTTTAATTCTAAGAAAAAAGCAATTCCGAAAATACAAACTGAACATCAGAGTCAAGTCAACCACCATAATAAAATGAAACGACATTCACAATAGTTAAGTCTACGGACAGCTTAAGTTTGACAAATATTTTCTCCCCCTTCACTAAGTCCCCAAGTACATTCCAATATTTATCTTTAAATGAAGCTTTATGAAAAATACTGCTGGTGTTCAGTTAGAATTAAAGGACTTGGATAAAGTGAAACAATAGACAGGTACAGATGGTGTGGGTTAAGTTACAAAGGCTTTACAGTTTGCATTATCCCAAGATACAAACATTCAAAAATTAACATGAAGTTGCTGTGTTATCAAAATATTGCAGCTATAGGCAAGGCAACATTAAATTAATAGCTGAGGGTGTGAGAAAACGCACATTTTAGTGAAGGTAAACAGAAGTGGCAGGTTTTAATTAGCATTTTTTATAAAGCTACTATTACCTGGCCAGCCATAAGCCAAGCACAGGGTAAAAAGCTTTCTCTGCTTCCTTTGGCTATAAGGTGACATGGGAAAAATAAAATAAAAGGAAAAAAAGGAAAAAAAAAAGGGAGAAAAACAACTATTAAAAAAAAATTCACCTTTTCAAGATGTTCAAGATGAGCAGAAAAAAAGTCAAATAATCAAGTAAAGGAATAAATACGAACTCAGGCAGTACACTTTAAAACACTCTGTCATTTGTAAATGTTACATTGTTTTAGTTTGGTGGCAAACCATAAGCTAGTAAGAAAACTAACCTTATGCAGTACACTGAATAACCACCTAAGTAAAAGTATTCTTCTGTTTACTCTTTGGCTAAAACCCCTTCAAAAGTAGCAAAGAAAATGCCCAATACTGGCAAGAGACTTTTCTTTTAAACAAGTAAAATCAACTTATCTATTTAAAACTTGGTGCATTTCATAAGAACAAAAGAGGTAATGTCGTAATAAAATCAGTAACGTTACTTCAAATGGCAACAAATTGTTTGTTGACCCTGTGCAATAATACACTTTGCTCATATTACATTTATCAAAATATGACTGTTTCTACAGATACGTAGGAATCTGGTGTGTGACTGCTGTCAACTTAGTTTACAACTGGGACACAGAATTTACAATCAGAGTGCCACAAGAACTTCCAAATTGTTATTTCTAGCAGAGTTAATTTCAAAATGTTCAGATCCTGCATTATTTAACAGTTAATTCACATGGAAAATAATGGAATATATAACCTAGAGCATATGAACATCAATGACTGCACCCATTGCCAGAACACGCTGCACTGGTTTGACACTTTTCCTTAGTACATAGAAAGCAACAGCACCCAATAAGCCTGAGAAGAAATGCTGCTGTGTAAATACTGGCAACTATTCCTGAAAAAAGAATTATGGGATGTTTTCTCAGAAGCTGCCCAATCCCATAATTTGTATTGCATAGGTCACAATCACACATATATATTCACACACACAAGTATGTGTGCGCTTATATACACATGTATATATGCACACATATGCACGCACACACACACATACACACAAAGAATATATTAAGAAGACAATGAAGTCTGGTCACAGAGCAATTTACAGGCTCAATATATTTTTCTTTTTTTTCTTTTTTTTTTTTTTTACACTTCGAAAGAAAACTTCAGTATTTTACAGTCATCAGTAGGCATTATATACACTGCACTTATGAAATCTAGAAAGTATTGAAATAGAAATACATTTCTGCAAACATTTGGGTAAGAAAACAAACCAAAATTTCTCAAAATTTGTGCTATCTACATAGTATTTTCTCTAAATCACAATAACTGTATCCATGGAATGTTCTCTAGAAAAGGTCTTTTTTCTTTTTTTTAAAACACCATGCACATTTTTAAGCAATTGTAACCCAAAATATCCCAACCTAAAGCAATCTAACAATGTTCAGATTAAAAAATTTAAGTTTCAGATCAGATTTTAAAAAGATAAGTCTTTATCACAAGAGCTGTAATGATAACAATTACATGTTAAGGCTAAACTGGTTTTGTTTTGTTTTTTTTTTCAGAAACACATTTAAAGACACGTTTCTCTCGAGGCTCTGCATTATGAACTGTACTTACATATGACAGTGCAGTGAACATAATGTTCAGTCCTACAGTCAGGATGCAGTTGCTCCTTCCCACTCCACAAGATACTGCACCTTTCCATCAAGGGTCACCCGACGAGCCAAAACACGGTATTTCTCCCCACAAGCTATTCTACCTGCTGCACCAAAATAGCTAGTAATCGAGTTCTTTAGATGATTGAGCTGTAACTCCTGATCTGCTAAGTTGTTAAGTATCTCTGTATTGAGTTCATCATACTGGTAATCTTCCTTGCTCTCATCATCTTTTACAATTTCTGAGTTTTGAGTCTGGAGTGCTTTTCGAGGAAAGCGACCTCTTCTTCTCAAATGTGGTATTGCAGCAGGCCAAGTTCTTCCCGTACGAGTCCTTTTTCTTGAGTCAGATAAACTATTGAACAAGCAAAAAAGAAATCACAGCATTAACTCTAAAAAACTTTTGCAAATTGTATGCTTTGTCATTAGTTATTCCCATGCAACCCATAACTTTTTTTGGTCTATTTTTCACTAATAAAAATAGATGCTGCCTACAGATAGATGACTATAAATATGGCACTTGCAAAATAAGAGTGACTTACAGAACGAAAAATGAACTAATGCAAAAAAAGTCAGTTAGCCAAATGTTTTCAAGCTGAATATCTCTCAGTTCAGACTCTGAAATATGAACAATTATAACAATCTATTTTACATCACTACTTTCTAGAGCATGCATGACTTTCTAAAGGTTTATTACACATGGCCAGAAAAGTACGTATAACCAAAACTCAGATTTACATCTGGTAACAGAAAAAGGAAGCTGCTGACAATATGCAAGAATAAGCCATCACCCAAATATTAAAGGGTCCAAGATATAAATACGTAAAAAAATACCTCTATAATTTATGCATACTAAAACTTACTTGATGAAGTCCTAAATTAACTGATATTTGAACTTTGATGTTCAAGACCCCTATGTAACACACTAAGGAAAAAAAGCATGTCTTTTAACATTAAAAACAGAACTCTAAAAGTGCATTATTTTTAACTTCTAAAAGAAAGGAATAAAGGGCAGAAATACAAAACGGTGACTACTACTACTAAGATAAGTCCGCAATTAGCAATTTCAGAAGTCTGGAAGTTAAACAAGAGGTTTTGCAGACAGACTATTTGTAGCAGTAATGTACACAAAAATGAATCATGAGCACCCTTGACAGCCCAAAACAGAAGGAAGACAGTAAGTAGACTGAGGATCCATGTATCTCAGCAAGACAGAAATCTGTGTTTGCTGAACTTGAGAGGGAAAAGTTTAAGTAACAATTAATTTACAGAAAAGTCGATTATAGTTAATAATTTATTTATGAAGACTGTGCCAAAAATTTTTCATGCTCTGCGGACTGCAGTAAAATTACAGCATACTTACTGTTCTTTAACACCAATACACAAACATACAAAAACAACAGCTGCTAAAATTAATTATGGGTATGCATCAGCTCTTTTGTGGCTTTTATTAGAAGGCTAAACTCAGGAAGCATTTATGGAGTTTAATTCTTTTCAGTAAATCTAATTTAACAACAATAAAACAGTAGTGAGTGAGCAGAAAAACCTCACCCTATGCACTGTAAGAACTAGTTAAGACGAGGTTTTTGTCCCATTTACTTAGATTTCCTTGTGCAACTCATAGATCTATCCAGTCTCCATTGCCCATTAATCCAAATCTCAGTGAGTCACCACATCCTCTCTGTTATACCCTTTTGCAGTGTCATCAGTTCCTCTATACTCTCCCAGGAGTTCTGCAGTACCCTTACCTCCATCTCACATCTACTACAGCTGTCTCATAAGCTTAAGTCAACCTCCTAGCTTATCTTCTACAGTTCTTGTGCAAAAGCTTCAACAAAACAGAAAACAAGCCCAAGAAACACCAGCAAAAAACAGCACTGGCAATGACTAGGCCACAGACCATTAGAAAATTTCCTGCCTTTCTGTGAGTGGGGGTCGCTGGTTTGGTCCCCTCTCATGCAAGCATCTCTCTTCATGGAACTACCTCCATCAGATTTCATGGAAGTTAGCCAAAAGATTCAGAATGGACTGGAAGTATAACAAAACCTCAGGTTTTTAAGCCACCTGATGTAGAACATTTCATGTAATGCATCAACAACATATCTTTTAGGATCCCTGCAACTTGTGTTTATTAAGGGTGCAGTACTGCTGAGCCAACTGTTTTCCATCCCCCTTTCAGAAAGTTTTACTGAAATTAGTATATTGCAAATATTGATCTTTAGAGCACAGAGAGTAATGGAATAACTACCTATAATGTCTGGAAATGCTAGATGAGGTAGTTTCTTTCATACTGGCAGCACCTGTGGATTCCACATCTGAGGTATTGGATGAATGCGCAGTTCCATCAGATTTCCTGAGATGCACAATAACAGAGTTGCCATTTAACGAAAAATAAGATAGCAAAAACTGAACTGACATTTCAGAAGCAAACAGATAAATGACATGATATTATAATACAATTTTTTTAGGGGTTTTGGGATTTTTAATTTACCCAACAGTGCAGGGTAATTCCAAGGTTGGGTTCTCTATCACTGGAACTGGTTCATTATCCTAAAGGGGGGAAAGAAAACAAAGAAAAAGTACTTCAAATTTAATTTAACTGCTGTATCAACTTTGTTTGAGGGCAAACGGGGGAATATCATGATTCAGATTAACTGGTTATGGTTTTCTCCAAAAATTATAATCCAGTTAAAGGGAAAAGTGGAGTGGGTGAGGGAGAATATCCAAAACCTTACCAGAGCAGATGACTCTGGAGTCTTGTGAATCATTTTTCTTGTATAGGGACCAGGTGGACGACCTACTGATTTTTTTTTCCCCTTTCTTTCTATACCATTACTTAATTCCCTAGAAGAAAACAGATATTTTGTTCTGTATTACTGAAGATCATCTAAAGTTAATACTTTTTTCTTTTTGTTTTGCAATGAATACATGATTAGATTTCTACGCACTAAGAGATCATTCCGATAAATACAATTTGTCAGGTACAAAGCTACACATTTTTGCTTCTAGAATAACATTAACAGATACAAGATCTTTCTAGTGACATTACTGATTTCCCAGCATTGAAGAGGAATGAACCAGAGTTAGGTGTTGCTTAAGTCATATGATCACACTTAGTAAAAAAGAGGGCACATTCACTAACACAAGTTACAACCTCCTATCTAGAATGTTATTTAGCTTACTGTATAAAAGCTCCTGAAAGACAAGACACTATTTCCCAAATGACAGCAAACCTAGATATTTCCTATTGTTCCTGCCACTAAATATTTGCTTGGTTTGATAATAGAAAGCTAATAAAATTTGCTTAAAGACCTTTTTCTCACAAATAGCCCAACTCTACAGTTACTTTAAAATAAATACATTCTAAATACATTAAACAATGTAAAGGTCCTTCTTGTAGGCACCAAAATACACCCAAAGTAGCCCGATTTACCACAACATTCCTAGAATGATTCCGTCATTTTACCTCACATCAGGGATTGGCTTAGATGATTTTCTGCCCTTAATTTTGAACTCATGAGAAGTTCCTTCTGGTTCTTTCTCAGCCTTTAAAGCAGCATTTGGTGGCACAGGAGGAACACGAATTCTCAAGCCAAACAAATGTTTCTTTTTCTTTATTTCTTTTCCAGACATAAACCTAGATGATTTTAAATTAATTGTTAAAATTCTGGCCCCAGAGAAAGCAACTTCTATAGTAAAAGTATACATAGAAAACAAAACTATATAAGTGAGACTATTCATTCTAATGTTATTTTATCCCTCTCTTTCCACTAATACAATCCTCACTTTCACATACACTACAGTATGGGAAGTGGAAATAGTGGAAGTTAAAACAATTTTCACATTATCTGGGTTACACTCAAATAGTTATGTTACAGTTTGAAATAGAAACAGTATTTAAAATTTTGTGAGTTATCTCCAGTCAAACTGATTATCAGATAGACTGAGCACTGTAATCTACACCATCTTAAACAGGCAAGCCACATTCAAAACAAAAAGTACCAATAACTTACATGGTCTTGTAATCATTCAATGCCTCCAGTACATGCTCGTATCTTTCAGATTTTGGTGTATCTGCCAGCTGTGAAGTATTAAGAAATCATTTAACCTGTCGAATTCTTTAGTAATAGAAAGATTGCAGTTACTTTGTGTCACTGTAACTACAGAACTGGATGTGAAGTACATCTATGAAGTACTAGCTGTAGAAACGACCAAACCCCAAAGGTAACTAATCATTATCCCATGCACTGTAATCTACACCCACAGAACTGATGTCAGCATCAAGGCCAAAGAATTTGAGTTTTACTTGTACAAAGTGCAGGAAAAATGTCTCAAGGAATTTTAGTTTACTGAAAAAACGTAATATTAACTTGCTCTCCCAAAACTGCTAACAAGAACTCTTCTGTGGCATTATATATGTCCAAATTAATTGAGATTGCAAACAGAATATAACTATTACTGACACTTGTTATTTTATTGGTGATGATTTTAACCAAATCTTACCACAGGATCCAATTCCCATTTTTGCCAACATCAGCCAATGAGATACAAAAAAAAGGGATGAGGCCCAGAAAAGTTAAAGCATAGAGAAAGAAAAAAAAAAAAGCCAACAGTAAATCCATTTCATGCCCCTCCTGCTCAGACCCAGTCTTACACCAAAGCCTAAAGTCCCTATCAAGCTACCAAAACAGTGGAATCTTCTCTCTGAAAAACGGCATATATAAGAATTAGAGACAGAGCAGAGCAAGATGGTGGTGACTGTGAAGAATTAGACACAACATTTATGTAATCAAATATAATTTTTTTTATGTTTAGACAGCTATTTTTAAATTCCAATGAAGCTACCGTATTTCCAGTCACCACACAAAATGTTCCAGAACTTATATCCCATTGGCTGCAGTAAGTTTATCTTTGAGTTTTACAGTCTGTAAGTTTTACTATTAGTACAGATACCACAGAGCAGACTGCACATTTGCAGCTCAAAAAAACACCCAAACCCCACCACCTTCACGTACTTCCTAAAAACACAATTCTGACTATTCCAGATAGAAATGCTCGAAGGATTGAACGTGCTAACAGCTAAATCAATGCGTAAACATAAAAGCCAACCTTTTAGCCCAACCTGGGGCAAGATTCACCACCTACCTGACTAAGAAAGTTGAGTTATTCAACCAACTTCAGCCAAAAAAATTAAGAACTGTTTTCACACATCTTTACTATAGGCATTCAGTACAATCCATCCCTATCCAGAAGTCTTGCAACTCTGCAGCACTTAACTATAGAAAACTGCCACATTTCTTGCATCCTAAATAACAAGATGCTAAACAATTGACTCAGGAGTTCTGATAATTCCACCACTTATTCCCATCTGACTATGGCTAAAATACTTTTCCTCTTAATCAATTATAAGCAGCTAGAGAAAGAAACCGAGGTGTGATTTCTAACAGTGCCAAGTTCAGAGTATTCAAAAAAAAACAAAACCAAAGCCTTAAAACCATTATATTGTAAGTATTACTTTTATGACTAATTTGTTTAAAGAACAAACCAGGTGAACCAAAGTAGTAAAGTACATTTCCCTCCGATCTCTCAAGACGGTTTTTCCCAACTCAGTAATATTTAAAATCTTTTCAGAATCAAGTGTTGAAGATTTCCTCAACTCAGTGCTTATGTAATTATTCCAAAATCTACCCTTCAGAAATGTAGTCTTCAGACTTACAAGTAGTTTCCATTAAGGTGCAGAAATACCGATTAAAGAACTGAGCATACCACTTAAAGAGGTGATTTTGTCTACCCTCTCCTTCCTCTCCCCTTCATTATGTGGCTTTCACACAGCTTGAGCGTGGACTGATTGAAAGCATAATAAAGGGGAAGAGCAGCACAATGAGGACTGTAGCCTTTCAACTTCTTCAAAATGGCATATGTGCTCCAAGTCAATGGCAGCTAGATAGATGCACTCAACACCACCACAGCTGCTCTGACCTCCATTCTGGCATGTAATTTTGTGAAATCCAGAGTAAATTTTTGTATGTGAAATAAGAACACAACAGTGTCTTCTACATTTACCTCAACACTAAGAAACTGAAGTCAAAATTAAACACTGCTTATGTATTTGCCAGACTGCAGATAAGCCAAGACAGCCAGAACATCTCATTCTATTGAAAGGACAATATGAGAACTGCATTTTGTGCAGCTTTTTTTTAGTTAAGCCTTGAGACTTGATAGGACTAAGAACACACATTTGATTTCTCAAATTGTGTCTGCTAGTAGGAATGGATTACAAATGTATGAATTTTCCCCGAGAAGTATAAAAGTAGGATGCACTCATGAAAAAAATTTGAACCCAGTTCTATGCCTCCTGCATTTAACTTCATAACACTGAATTTCTATGCACAAAGTGCATACTCTACTAAGCAGTTTGGCAACTTGAATTTAGATATAAATTTTGCATGCAAACTTGAGTGCAGAAACAACTACCTATACTGTTCCTCTTTGTTAAATATGAAGTGAGTCTGCTTGAAGAAACAGATTTCCTTTAATGCTAAAATAACTGCGCAGTAAATCAAATAGCTGAAGAAATAACTAGTATAATAGGGATCAAAAAACCAAGACTCATTGACAAGCAGCAGAATCAGACTGGAAAAGGATCCAAATAATATTTAGGGCTGGACACAAACTGATCACCCCCATATTTGGAAAAGTGAGAAAAGAGGAAATTAGATATTCATGTACAGTATTTTGTTATGTGTTACACCTTCAAAACAGATTTCCTGGTCATTGCACAAAACTATCCAAGAAGTAGGAATTATATGTGTGTGTATATATATGTGCACTTAGGTTGTTGATTATTAAGTTACCATTCAAATAATAAAATAAGTTACATGGATAGCTTTAGGAATTTTACAGCACAGAAAAACACACGCTACTTAAAATCATTCTATTTCTGAGAGAAAATTAAAGATTACCTCCTCATTATTTGGGATTACCAGATTGATAATAAAGATAATAAAGGATTCAACATCCAGAATAAAAAAGTGCATAGGTCATTAACATTCAGGACATATATATCGCACTGTGAGAAAAAACAAGAAAGTATTCCAATGACTTACCTCACCAGGATGCAATCTATCCCAGTTTTCATTAATGTAGGCCATGAGTTCAAGCTCTGAGTCAAAGTATTTCTTCTTATGAATAACACTTAGGTTGTAAAGGCATAGATGTGCTATATCTACCCTAGAGTTCAGAAATATTGGAATAAAAGACAGGAATAAAGACTCTTTTTCTTTCAACTGCTTTTCTTCTGAAAATTTCTTAGAGAAGATACTAGCATGATATAGACAGAGGAACACAAAGTACAACTCAATACAACACTCAATACAGGGAACAACATTATGAAGTTTCCTGTCACTTCTCTTCAAGCAATTCATTCTGCTTTGAATCTTAATCTCTGCCTCATCTCGCTGTTACCATGTTTTTTTTAAACTCCAAAACTAGTCTAAATCACAAGATAGTTAAGTAAGTCCAAATTTATACTTGAATCTATAGATTCTGAGCTCATGCAGTATTCTGTTGAATTAGCATTTAACAAGTTATTTCCACCATGTATTTGTTAGCATACATATCCACAAGATTGAGTATAATTTGTAATATGGACTAGTTCAAAGATTTCAAAACTACAATTAACCATCAAGTCTCATCAGGGAAACTATTATGTGTACAGATGTGTACTCCAGTAATCATTACATCTGGCTTATCTAATGTTAGGATCCTAAGACTGCAAGAAAAATTTTGTTCATATCTCAGTCTTCACATATACAAGTGAGTAGTTGCTCACTGCTTCACTGAACCATCCCAGGAATAAACCCAAAAGCATGCAATTGTAATATATCTCTACATTTAAGGATTAACCTTGAAGAAAAGATGTCCCTGTTAGTACAAGCGCTAAGAGCAACTTGGGAAACAAGAAGACATCAAGTGAATTTCCTTTTTTGCGAGAAGGATCAAAACACCAAAGAGAAATTCAGAGCATGTATTAAATTCCTGTTTTTAATTCATACGTACCATCTCAAGGGTAAACGTTTGAGGTATTCTGGTCCAGAACTGCAAACTGAGCAAATGAATGTATAAAACCTAAAAATATATAAATATACAGATATACATGTGTCTGGGTGGTGGGTGTCTGTACATACACTCTTCATGTTTACCACACTAGTTATGCAAAAATGAGTTATGCAGGCTAGAAACCCAGCCGTATGATATCTGAGAGTCCCTTCATCATTCATCCTCCTTCATTAGCCTCTAAAATCTGTACTGGTACCTACCAGACAAGGTACTTGATGAATTTTATCCTGGTACCACTGTTTCATACTCCCCAAGGAAGTCCCTCAACCTGTGACTATGCCTGTGAAAGTGTTCTGAAGTGTTCCCACCCTATTCTCTCATGCAGAAACCCATGCATCAGTGCAAGCACACACTTAGAGGACCCATGCATTCCTAGGTCCTAACTCAGTTCCTTCATACAACCATTCCAGCACAACCAACAGCTAAAGGAAAGTATAACTGATAACAAATAAGATACTACTTGATTTGGTTCTCCAGTTTTCTCTCATCTGCTCCAACTACTTCAAGTTCCTCTTAAAACAAAAGCCCAGACTAGCACTCTTACTCATTTTCTTTTGTCCTGACTCATTACGTATCAACAGAGGAAGTATACAGCTCCCTTCAGTGTAACGATCCTTCCAGCTTTCTCCAGTTCCCTATGCTGTTAGTACATGAAACTATTATCACACGTACACACTGGCAACCTACCTTGAAGCATGGTGCCTGTTCATATGAGACACTGGTCACCTAGACAATGTGAACCTGAAAGCCCTTATCTAACTTTTGACCCACTAAAGCAGTCTGATTTGAAGCCTGCAATCTCCTACTAGACAGCACCCATAGTATAATAGACATCTACATTAAGTGAGGTCAGTAGCAATTTGACTTCAACCATCCACAACCCACTCTCCTTCATTAAACTGAGATGAACTGCATTTTCCTGGCACCTGAACACATGCTTTAGCTTGTATGATCTTCTATCCAAAACTCACCCCATTTTTGGAAAGCAGTGTTGTATTATGGATACTCTAATAAAAGTTCATATGGGAGATCCCCATCATATTTTAAGTAAGGGCAACCATGAAGTACAGCTTCATTTTCTTACCTGTCACCAAAAAGCATTGGCTTTTGGAGGCACTGCACGCAAGCCTCATGAAACCACTGCTTACATTTGCAGCACTGCAACATCTTTAGATACCAGCTTCACCAACAGAAAGAAAAATAACATGTGTTAAAAAAGTCACTGGCAATTGTTCTTCCTTTTTTTTTATTCTTCATTATGTCTAAATTAAGTAGCAAGGGATCTTCTGACCCTAACAGTCATCTGTAGGGATATGAGTCATTACTAGAAAAGTAGTGACTAAGAATAATAAAAGATGGTCTATTAAAGGATGAACTAAGTTAATAAATGAAAAAAAAAAAAGAAAAGCTTAATTTCCTATGAAAACCAAACTTTTGTTTTTATTATCTCTAAGAATTCAGTAACCATATAAGCTTCTTCTCACATACTGGATTCACTTCCACGTTATTTTCCAACTGCCTTAAGTCAGAAACATTTGTTCTGAGGACTGGACTACTCAAATCCTTAAAACAAACCTGTTCACAAAGGTTTATTTGCATTTTCCTTTTTCAGCTCTCCCTTGATAAAAAGAACCATGCAACACTGAAGGCAGTGTTTGTCCAAGTCCCCAAAATTCTCAAACTAGAGCTCTGTTCTGCAAACATAAACTCAAAAGCTTCACTCCTTTGTGAGACTCTTGACTCCAATGCTATTTTATCTATTTACTCATCCATGCAGACACCAGAGTATTTATCTTTGTCTACTTAAAAAGTTCACTTCTTGCCTTTCTTTCAGAGAAATAACCAGCAAAGGACTCTAATGTCATGAGGGGGAAAAAGTCCCCGTCGTTCCCCCCCCCGCCAGTAACTGCAATCCAGTGTATGATACTGCAGCAGAATCAGCTGTCTGTTCCAACAAAATTTACTAGACTAATCCTTAAATACACTTACATTTGTGACTAGTAATAGAGAGATGAGTTAACACTGCCTAAAACTGCAACATCAAAAAAAACCCCATGAAATCCCAAAACATTAAAAGTAGCAATACAAACGAAGGCATTCCGGCTTGTTGTAAAATGGACTGTAATGTTATGTGATGGTCACATGACAAGATTAAAACAAAAGATCTGATGGGAGAAGGAAAGCCATTAATAATGTTTCCCAGGAGACATTACAAAAAAATTGAAAATGCCACTTCGCATTATGTTTAGTATCTACATGCAAGAGAAACAAAGACATTCACAAGTAGAAGTCTACAGGATCAACTGTATGGCAGACAGACGTTCTTACAGCATCTATTTACTCACTCTCCAGGTCCTCCACAATAGCAATAACACTGCTGGACATTGGTTTTATGACCTGCATCCCACTCAAGGTCTGTTGCATTATAAGGTAATGTTTGTTTCATGACTTGCAGTGCTTTGGCATTTGGTCCTTTCTTAAGCGCACCTCCCCTCTGGTCCAAAACAAATATACAAGTTTACAAAAGCAGTAACGTATTCCTGAAACTTGCAAATCCTTTAATTTGGAAGTTATGGAAATTTGTCTATAATAAAACACTATCAGCTGTGTTTCTTATAATATTTGCATATTTTAAAGATAAACTGAAAGCCTAATGTACTTATAACTAAAATACATATTAATTTCCAACATATAAAACTTCCATTCAAGTCAAAGTTAACAAATAAGAAATCACTGAGAAAATTCAGTATTTTTGTGTGTTTCAGCTTCAGAAGCAAAGTATGTACACAATATGGGATGTATTAAGACATGTTTTTCTATAAACACACCTTTGTTGTTGTTGCAAAAACGCACTGTCGACAGAGCCATTTATCATCTGATTCAATCACGCTGGAATCAATATTTGGTGTGTGACACAGCTGATGGTAACCTTATGAAAAATGACCAAAGTGTTATTAAAACAGAAAAAGCTTACAAAGAATTAACTATATATCATTTTAACCCAAATATAAAGCATTATCCATCATAAAGTGCCAGAAATCTGATCTAAAATATGGTAACACATTCATAACGTTCTTTTGAACTTCTTAGTATAAAAAATAAACTTTACTTACAAAATGTTTGTTAGTCACTTTAACATGAATTATCATTATTCACTGAGCTGTTAATAGCCACTAAGGGCTATAAAAGTTAACATCAGTTAAGCTGTCAGCCAGACAAATATCCTCCTTCATAAAACAAATCAAAACATCTTTTAAAATGCAGTAAATAGGAAAGACTCTAGTTACCTTGCCCACATTTATCACATATAACCATTTCATTCGGTGCTTCTGAATACTCTTCCTGACATATTGTACAGACCATTTCCCCACTTTCAGTGGCTCCTAGACAAAGATGAAAGTGTGATTTTTTCTTTACAACTGCAGTTGGAATGGTTACCATGTGTATGGATTTTTTTGTTATTTCAGTTACAAATCCTTGCATTGTAGAATCGTATTGTTACAAATCCTCATTTCCTAACAAAATTAAATTCTAACTTTTTATACAAACCATATGCATTACAAATACTGATGGCACTTGTCATAGATTATTGAATATTTATAGGTTATGTATTTTCACTAACATAAAAAAAACATAAAATAATGGAATAAAGACTAAGTGCCAACTTAAAAAATACGCATAAACAAATCCTATCTGGACAACTGAGATGTATGTTTTGTATTTACAGTAGTTTGTGCTTCTTTTCATATGCACAACTTGGTGCATATCCTTTGACAGATCTGCCCAGGGTGCTTTAATATTGAACTCCAGCACCCTGAGGCAGTATGTTATTACTGCTTATGCATATCCGCAAGCATACAAAAGCATGCAGCAACAGTAGAGACAAGAAAAAAAAAAAGTGGCCTTGCAAACAGGAAACAAAACTACATCTTGCTCCCATCATATACCACCTACCAGTGTAAAAAAATGGAATAAAATATAAGTTTCTTAGTCTACATGTTATACTCGTGCACTGAAGTTTGATAAGTGTAGCAAAGATCATAAACCAGTACTATACAGAGGCAGAATAGCAGTACTTTAAAAGCTCATAAATAAAGCAGATTTTTTGCTGTTACAAATACAAAGCTTGTCCTGTTAGCAGAGTGTTCAGTTTAAATACCAAGAATCAGCAAGAGCCAGATGAAGTTTCCATTGCCTGTATGAGATGAGGAAATTGTAACTGTTTTTCATGAGAAACTGTCATCCATGCTTCCATAGCATTAGATTATCAAAATACTAGCTGCTCCCCAAATATTTCAAAAATCAAAGCTAATGTACAATAGATGTCTCACTTGATAACTGCATATTTCTTTATATTACATGAATACTCCAAAATGTGTAATGGTTCCTTATGTGCAACAATTAAGGTATTACTTTTAAATGTGAAAACTCCATTCAAACCTAGGATTGATTTTCCAGTCTTTGGTTTCTTTCGACGTCATGATGTTTCAACTGAAAACATAGGAGGACATAAACTCTGTGTAAATTAGGGCCTGGAGTTTTCTGCTATGACAGAGTATTACACTCTATTCCCATCCAAAAAACCTCAAATTTGATTATGCTTAGAAGTGTTCTCCCCTCCCTGCACATACATATGTGAAAACAAACAAACAGAAAAAGTAACTGCAATGATAAAGAGTTAACTGAAAAGAACTTTTTTATCCACCTAAATCAGCATCCTGGGTCATGTTAAACTATATCACTTTAGGATACAAAAATATACTCTAATAATTTACTTTAACAGATACAGTAATCTACACAAAACACCCAACAAGGACTACTTCACTGAAGTTCTTGCCTGTTTGTATGTCCTTCCAGAGAACCCAGGATTTGGAACTGTCTTCAAATATAATGAAGCAGTTCTGTTTCAGTTTGTTTATCTGAAAACCAAAAATAGAGCAGAAGCCATGAGTAAAATACTAGACAGAATAATGTACTTAATACAGAGAGACACAACAACACCATAACACAGAATCACAGAATCACAGAATCACAGAATCACAGAATCACAGAATCACAGAATCACAGAATCACAGAATCACAGAATCACAGAATCACAGAATCACAGAATCACAGAATCACAGAATCACAGAATCACAGAATCACAGAATCACAGAATCACAGAATCACAGAATCACAGAATCACAGAATCACAGAATCACAGAATCACAGAATCACAGAATCACAGAATCACAGAATCACAGAATCACAGAATCACAGAATCACAGAATCACAGAATCACAGAATCACAGAATCGTTAGAGTTGGAAAGGACCTTAAGATCATCAAGTTCCAACCCCCCTGCCATGGGCAGGGACACCTCACACTAAACCATATCACCCAAGGCCTCGTCCAACCTAGCCTTGAACACTGCCAGGGATGGAGCATTCACAGCCTCCCTGGGCAACCTATTCCAGTGCCTCACCACCCTAACAGGAAAGAATTTCCTCCTTATATCCAATTTAAACTTCCCCTGCTTCAGTTTTAACCCATTACCCCTTGTCATACCACTACAGTCCCTAATGAAAAGCCCTGCTGCAGAGTCTCCTGCTGGAGACTCTGAGGTCTCCACGCAGCCTTCTCTTCTGCAGGCTGAACAGCCCCAACTTTCTCAGCCTGTCTTGGTACTGTAAGACTCCAGTGAGTTTAAATAAATCCTTTACCTTTTTGATAGTTCCAAGATAAAACAAGCCATCTGACCATCTAGCTAGGACATCCTGACCTTCTTCAAATTTACACAGTGGCTTTTTGGCTTTCTGTCCATCACGTAACGACTGCTTGGTCAGAGATGCTGAGCTCTTATGGCTTCGACGTACAGGAGACCGCTTATGGACCAGTGAATTACCCACCGCTGTAGAGTCTCTAAGGGAAGAAAGAGAAAAGATAATCAGAATTAGGTTAAAGTAGAAAAACCGTATGTTTTGAATATTAGTAGGATTCACAGCTAAAACTCACCTTATAGTAGCCTTTGCTACTACAAGAGTCTACAAGAATTGAAAGAGACAAGTTTATGTAAAGAAAAGTCATCTATGAAAACAACTAATGTAAGTGAGGATGGGGACACAAGCTTTTCAACTCAGAGAGTCTTCATAAAGTCACCAAAAAAGTAATCAAAAGCATTCAATACAGAATTACTAAGGCAAAACAATTAGTCACTTTAATGACTGACAGTTTTCCAAAATTCCAAGGAAGCTAAAAAGGTACTAAATGTTAGGGTTAAGCAGGTGGGGGGAAAGAAACCAGGTTGAGCACTACTCAAGGTACCTCCAAACACAGCATCATGCTTTGCCACTAAGCATAGCTATAGAGCTTTCCAGCACAGGAAGAATTTCTACATGCTAAGCTTCTAATGTGAAATAAGTTTTCCTCTTTGTTAGACTCAGAGAAGAATAAGGAAAGAAAAACAAAACATCTGGGAACTTTTGTTCACAGACAAAGCTCAAAATTAAAATTACATTCATCAACAATAGTTTTTTCCTCATACAATTCCACAACATATAGCCTATTCATCTATAAGTATGATTATGCTTTTATGTCAGACTAGCTACCAAACACTCCAAGGAGTAAAACATAGAGAACTGTAACACAGGACCAGATAATGCACAAGCAACAATCTTCATAAGTAATAAGCAGAATTTCAGATTGTAAAACAAAGTTATCCTTATATCCAAATGTATTTTCTCTTTAGAAATGTATGAATTACTATGTATGAATTTAGAAATGTATGAATTACTATGACAGAGATACAAGGACAGAACAGAGTTACATGGAGTCAACTGAAAAAGCAAAGTTTCACCTCATTCTAAATAGCTTAGGTGCATTATTAGCACCAGAAATGTTTGCAATAATCAAAGCACTAATAAAACCAGTAAATGAATCAGCACCCTATGCAGTTTGATGAGAATTACTATTCAGATGCCGGAGAAGTTCTTCTAAAGTTTCAAAGAGGATGGAATCCTTTTTCCCTAGATGTTTACTTTCAATATGAAAATAAACTTGGAATTATAATGTCTGAAAATACCAAAAATATGCAGAAATGCAAAAGTTAGTATTCTAGAAAGCAATTGATTTTTTTGGACTGGACAGTTTAAACCAAGAAGGCTAGACACAAGAAAGTTAGACAGCTGTTTTAAGCACATTTATAATCAGTGTAGGTCATGACATTGAGAGCACGCCAGACAATGGGCCAGACAAGTGTTCCATTTTGCCCAGTAACTAACTCTGGCATCGTCATGTACAATTGGGCCACCAATTTAAGTCTTGCCTGATCTCAAACACAAATATTCCAGCAGCTGACTGGGGAAGACCAGAGGTACAGGAAAAAAAACTCAAAAACAAAAACTATCTCCAAGAATAGCGCTCCTCCCGCAGACATTCTCTAAGTCTTTTACAGCCTGTGGACCCAAATATCTTGAGCAGTAATGCCTTTGTATTTTAGTCCTTAGTGGAACTTTTTCCTGCATGTTTTCCTACATGTTTTGTTGAACCTTTAAAGGAGTACTTCTTCTGGCTTGGTTCACAGCTGGCACCTTGTCACTTCATTTGACACCCTTCACCACTGCATGAGAAAACAGCGGTCATAGTCTACCTTTTCCCTTCACTCCCCAGTAACAATGTTTACACCCACCCAGAAGTATTTCCCAGGTAAGAACCCTACCAGTTCTGCAGCTTCTCATGTGAAAACCATTTAAAGTTGGTGCTGCTTTTCCACAGTTCTACTTTAAGCTCTTACAGACGGAATAGGCTGCCCAAAGTGGTAAATTCTCCATCCCTGGCAGTGGTCAAGGCCATGTTGGCCAGAGCCTTGGGTGATATGGTCTAGTGTGAGGTGTCCCTGCCTACTTCCTACATTATTCTGAATAACCTCATATCCTTAAAATATTTCATTATTTAAACTTACAATCTTTTGTACCTCACTGCAAGATTGTCCCTTATCTTGTACAATAGCTTAAAATTTCACAAGGGCCTCTAAAGCAGGGCCCCAACCCTTAATACCTGTTGCAACCATATTCTACTCTCTCCTTTGTATCTGCATAGTCATTTACACACCCAACAGGCTCAGAAACAAACATATCTGAAGTAAGCCAGTCATGAGAGGAAAAAAAAACAAAAAACCTGTTTCCATTCATCACTTCCTCAAACCTTTCTGACTACACACATTTAGCACATAGAAATCATCATTCAAAGGTCAGGCAAGGCTTGATCAGCACAGCCTTATCAGAAACAGTTGTGAAACTATAACCTGGTCTCAGACAACAATCCTTTTCTTGGCAATGACTCACCATTACAAATTATTAAAGTATTTCGATACTTCAAATTACATCCATGAACATGACTTAGCATATTCAGTGGGTCAATAAGGCACCACGTGTAGTGCAAAAAACTTAAAGCAAATTTACTTGTGCACCTTGAAATTGTTTTACAAGCGTTTTCACGTCCTGTTTCTCTTTCAGAGGTTCAAAGATTTTTCTTTACAGCTTTTTATCTGGTTTAAGAGACTACACAAAGCAGCTCAGAGGCAGGAGTGTTGGCTCCTCCAGTACTTGCAACAAAGGTGTGGAAGATCTTTCACAGAATAAGGAAAGACAACATCATCATATGGGTTTGTGTTGAAGGGACCTTAAAGCTCATTCAGTTCCAGCCCCCTGACACAGGTAGGGACACCTTCCAATAGAGCAGTTAGTCCAAGCCCTGTCCAGCCTGGCCTTGCACACTGCCAGGGATGGGGCAGCCACGGCCTCTCTGGGCAACCCCTGCCAGCACCTCACCAACCTCACTAGGAAGAGTTTCTTCCCTGTATCTAATTTTATATATAATTTTTTTGCCATGAATATATGCACATCATTCTGCTTTACAGTTTGGTTTTGAGATTCTTGGGAGCCTCAAGTTCAGATGTCCTATTAGAAGTAAGAAACAACTCATTTATTATACATAATCTAGTACAGATCTCCACTTAAAAAGCAACAACTACTTTTGTGAGTTTCCCATTTTAAAAGTCTTCAGAAACATACATATGCTATTAAGTACTGAAGTTTGTCCCATAACTCCATTCAAATTGTAACAAAAATGTGTTGTGCATTATTTTCTAGCACAAGCACTTAAATGAGTCTACACATTGACTTATACAACAGCCTAAATTTACAATAGCAACTCCAGATACTGAAGGATCTTGACACACAGTAAAGGTCTGAGCCAATAAAACAGGCACTTCTCCATTGTCCACACTGCTCTCTTTGTGGGAGATAGCACTGCTGAAGTGATGACTAAACAGCTGATGAAGTAGCTCCTGCTGTGGCAGTTTATGCTTTATCTAACACATGGACTGAAAATAGGGTTAGTTATCACAATAGGCTGACACTAGCTTAACTGTTGCTTTCCACATGGATAAGAAGTTTGTTTCCAGGGAAGCATTCCCCCAATGTTTTTGATGGAGATTAAGTGGGAAGAGCTACTGTTCTAAAAAGCTGACTTTAATCAGCAAGCTCTAAGTTACTTAAGTAGGTGTCTCTGAAGTGCCTTCTGGAAACATGACATAAGCACAAAAGAAAGCACAAGGAATCCAGTGCAGACCAACGTAAGAACTACATGCCTAACACGTGAGTAGCTTTGCCTTGCCACAGGCCTCTCCACTGTAATGGAGTAGCAAAAAGTTACACCTACCATTAGCATAAATACCTGTTGGAAGTGCAAATGCAAAATGAGGTTAACTTCTTGCTTGCCAATTTTGAAATTAAAGGTTCCACATTTTCCAGAGCTTGTTTTCAAGTCTTCCCTTAAGTTACATCCATAGCACCTTCCTAACATAACATTTACAGTTACCAACAAAATTAGTAACCTTTCAGTAACAATTTCCTCACAATCTTAAAAAATAACTCAAAAGAACTCTGCATTGCAAAATATCCAGAGATCTTGATTTTCCAAGGAAAAAAATAAACACTTTACCAAATATAAAAGCCTACTTTATCTCACACAACTTGCACAACTAAGCTGCACAGCATGTCATACAGTAAGTAAGTCCAGTCTACCTTGGCTTCACATCCCTTACGCAATACTGAGTATGTTGTGGCTGTACTCTTTCTCAAGCAGTTCACATGCAAAGAACATACCGAACCACCCATACAATCTTTCAGAAGTCAGTAAAACATATCTATGTATTGAAATACACTTCCAAATAGTAATGCACTTTGAGCACTTCTTGAGAAGTTGGTCTTGTGAAGTTCTGAAAATGCTCACCTTGGGGGCTCATCATAACCACAGATACCCTCCAGCAAGACAGGCAGAAGACTTTCTATTCACCTACTTAATTAATAAGTTTATAATATGCTGCAGCAGCAGGTGATAGTCATCATTCTCTTTCAACAGGAATATAAACTTCCCTTGATGGTGAGCTACATAAATCAGTCTGATTTGTGAACCATGCCAACTTACTATGCATACAATTTATTTGTCAAAATCCAAGTTAGATTTCTGTTAGTTTTGACTTGTTTGTAAATCTAACCTCTTTATTACAGGTTAGAAAGTGTCCAAGTTCATATGGGGCCTCTGACTCCCAGATCTTCACCACAATCCTACAACAGGAGAAGGGGAAAATGATGGGAAGATCCTGGAGAATTAAAAAGACGAGGCACTCTCCATCTTGTTTCTAAGTGTCCTTTCCTCAGCAGTACTGCCAGGTTAAGGTCATTCATACTCCTGTAATCCTTCAGTTCTAACAACTGCTGTGAAACAACTTCTGTTATGAAAAACTCCCTTGACAAGGGTTATCTTTTCAGCAATTCCATTTCACTATTTGTCTCACAGAATGGTTTGTCAGCACAAGAGAACAAATGCAAACAAGCAACTTGAGACACAAACTCCCTCAG